GAGGAGGGACAGGGTCAAAAGAAAGAATAGAATAAATGGGGGGGAGGATAGGATTAAGGGAAATAGAGTTAGTTTTTCACAACATGTCTACTATGGAAGTGTTTTGCATAACTGCACATGTATGGCTTGTATTGACTTGCTTGCCTTTTCAATGAGGGTGGGTGGGGTGGGAGGAAGAAGAAATTTGGAACCCAAAGTTTTAAAAAAACATGTTTAAAAAAAAAAAAATGTTTCCACATGCAACTGGGAAGTAAGAAATACAGGAAATGAGGTACAGAAATCTATCCTGCCCTACAGGAAAATAGAAGGGGAAGGGGATAAGAGAAGGGCAGGGGAGAGATAGAAGGGAGGGCAGACTAGGGGAAGGGGTATCCAGAATGCATGCCATCTTGGGGTGGGGGGAGGGGCAAGATGGGGTGAAAATTTGGAATTCAAAATCTTGTGGAAGTAAATGTTTAAAACTAAAAATAAATAAATTTTTATTAAAAAAAATAAACACAGGATATAACAAAGGAAAAAAAAATCCCATTGATTATTGGGGCTTCTCACCCTCATCACTGTCACAGTGACAGGGATTTTAAAAACTTCACTCCTTTCCCCCTCCCCCCTTCCCTGGCATATTTCTTCTGGAATGGCTTTTTCCTGATATTTGGGTATTGAATGCTCTCAAATCTGACTTTTGTCCTTAAATACAAGGGTCAAGATTGACCTGCAAAGGAGCCAAGACTTTTCAAGCAGGTCTCATCAAAGTGTAAAAGACGCATTTTTACACAGGGTCATGACATAGACTTAAAAAAAAGTTACATGTCCAGTGCAGAAAACTAGGGTTGTACATTGAAGTGTGCTCAGGGCACAGGGTTGGGCCTGCTCCCCAGCCACCACTAAAGAAAGCCCAAGGCTCCAGGCTGAAAACCTGGAAGCGATTCCTGTCGAAGGATGCTCTCCAATGGCTTGCTGCAAGCTGATAAAAATGGAGCCTGAAATGCTGACTGATGCAAATGTGCTCTTGCTAAAGTCCCCTTCCATTCTCCACATTCATTTTGAGAGGTGTGACATTAGTTACCAACAGTGCTTGAGCCGGACGTGGCCATTGAGCACCGCCAGACGCCTAACTAGGTAGTGACGCCGCTTAGCCCCGAATGTGAATATTGGACACTCGCTGCTTTTGCCAAGCAGACGGACGTAAACCCCAGAGTCCTTTCGAAGCTTCCTTTCTCCTACCCACATTTCCTACAGAAGACGCTGCTGGCTTTGAATAGAGGTCAAACTACGTGTTGTGGGGAGTCCAAACTTTATACTAAATGTCACTTAGGACAATTTCTCAAGTAGACTGAGAAAAAGAAGTAAAAGATCTGAGAATTATCTAAATACGTCGTAAAACAAAGGATTTTGATAAAGGATTGTGCTTGGCATGCTCCCAATTGTTTGTCTCGTCTTCAACGTTATTTTTTTTCCTTTGACAATTTATTACTTTTTTGTTGCTGTGGTTCCGTTTTGAGTTCCCCCTCTCCTCTCCCTGTATTCACTGCAGCTAGGACCCCCTCACTCAGGCAGAAGGCCTTAGGTGAAGGTTAAGTCTATTCTTTTCACTTCCTTTAGTCTGATGCTGATTTATAATCCTTGTCCCCCCAATTTGGGTAAAGAAAAGTTCCTTTTTTAAAAAGTTCTGAGCGAGTGTCCTGATCAATCCACCTTCACCCCAAAAGTCAGGTCATAGATGAAATGTCCTTCAAGAGACTTAAAGTTTGACCGGACACTCATCACTGGTCCCTCACAAAATGAACCAGAGGCTGGTTTTTGAGCCAGTTTTCATGTCAATCTCTGATCAGGCTTTTCTTCCTGGAAATGCTTGGGAATGCAGTTTAGACAGGAGAGTTTAGACAGGTGTTATGTGTTACCTCTCGGTCAGCTGGGGAGATTCGGGGGATGATGTCCGACACTAATCGATTTCCAGCTTTTCTCACAAATGAATAATTTCCCATGATTCTAATTGGAGGACCTTAATAATGGAGGTGGTATTACTCCCCTTAGATCCTTGCAAGACATCCCCTTTGTGATTAAAGCTGTTTGGTTAAGTTGTATTTGATATTTCCCTGCAAGTCTGTGGAATTCTATGGATCTGCCCCTCAGTTCATTACCTCTAGGAATTCTCTTGTACAATTCCTTGGAAGAAAAAAAGTTAAGACTCCTTTCTTTGCATTTTACAGGTAATTAGTTTTTATTATTATTATTTGCATCACTATAATTTCCCCAATATCCCTCCCTGTTTCCTGTCAGGGAGCCACCCCATGTAGCAAATAGTATTTTGTTAAGACAAAAAAAGGCGGGGTGGGATCAGCCTCTGATCAATAACTAAAAAAAAAATTCTGAAAATGTGCATTGTGCAGCCCTCTTGCACCTCCCAGTTCTGCAGAGGGATAGCTATGGTGGGTAGGAGTCTGGCTTGTTCTTTATAACTTTAAATACTGAGTTTTGATTTTTTTTTTCTTTTTTAGGTACACTGTTGGTGTAGGTTGTTTTCTTGGCCCTGCTGACTTCCCTCTGCATCAGTTCCTATAAATCTTTCCATACTCTCTGTATCATCACGTTTGTCGTTTCTTATAGCGCAATGATATTCCATGACATTCATGTACTCCAATCAAATATAACTTGTTTCTAATTCTGTGCTGTTATGAAAAGACTGCTCTGAATACTCTAATGTATACTGGGGCTTTCTTCTCATCAAGGGGTTTTTGGTCATGGGGGATGGCCAGAGAGAATGCCTGGAGCCAAGAGATGGAGGGTCTTTGTCTGGGGAACAGACAAAGGGAGGCCGGGGACACTGGATCCAGGAAGACCTATTGGAGAGTAGGGTGTAAGGAGAATGGAAAGGGAGGAGGGGGCAGGGCATGAAGGGCTCAGAGGCCAGGCTGAGCATTTGATTACATTTGATCCTGGAGGCAATGGGGAGTCACTGGGGTCTGTTGAGTAGGAAGGTGACATGATCAGATCTGCGCTTTGGCGACTGCAGAATGGATGGGAGTGGGGAAAGAGTCGAGGCAGGCAGAGATCCCAGCAGCAACTGCCCCCGTCCAGGCTCGAGGCGCGAAGGCCTGCCCCAAGGCCGGGGCAGCGGCAGAGGAGAGAAAGGCGCAAATCAATAGGCCTTGGTACCATCTTCAGTCTGGAGGTTGAAAGGGTAGAGTCCAACATGGCTCCTAGGTTGGAAGACTGACACCAGGAGTGTGTTGGCAACCCCTGTAGTGATAGGGAAGGTGGGGGGAGGGTTGGGGAAAGATGAGCTCTGTTTTGGACATGTTGAGTTTAAGACTGGATGTCCAGCTCGAAGTGCCTGAAAGGCAGTTGGAGATTGAGATTGGAGGTCAGCACAGAGTTTAGGGCAGGAAAGGAGTGGTCAGAGAGGCAGGAGAACCAGGAGTGTCCTGAAAACATAGAGGAGAAGAGAGAATCTAGGAGGAGACAATGACCCACAGCGTCCATGGCTGCGAAGGGGTGAGAGAGAATGGGAACCGAGAAAAGGCCACTGGACTCAGCCACTAGATCACCGGTCACTGTGCAGAGAGCAGTTTTGGTGGATGATGGGTCAGAAGCCAGATTGGAAGGGGTTGAGAAGAGAATGACAGAGAGTGGAGGCAGCTGGCATAGACGGGCTTTTTGAGGAGTTTTACCACAAAGGGGAGAAGAGGCTTCTTCAGAATGGGGGAAACACGGGCATGCTTTTGGGAAGGAGCCAGTAGTGAGGGAGACATTGAAAATAAGGGACAGAAGGGGCAGCTAGGTGGCGCAGTGGACAGAGCACCGGCCCTGAAATCAGGTGGACCCGAGTTCAAATCCGCCCTCAGACCAAACACTTGATACATACTAGCTGTGTGACCCTGGGCAAGTCACTTAACCCCAGTTGCCTTAAAAAAAAAAAAGGAAAAAAGAAAAGGAAAATAAGAAAGAATGGAGATAACGGAGAGAGGGAGCAATTTGCAGAAGACAGGATGGAACAGGATCATCTGATTAGGTAAGGAGTAAGGCCACCTCATCATGGGAGACAGGGCTGAAGGAGGAGAGAGGGGCAGAAGATGAGGAGGAGGGGAGAAGAGGGAGCTCATGGCAATGTTTTCTGTAAAACAGAAGGCAGGTTCTCAGCCGAGAGACTGGAGGCAAAGGGGCACCATGGGAAGTTGGAGAAGGCATGAGAAGGTATGGAAGGGCCATTGATGAGGGAGATAGAATCAGGCTTCTGGGCAGTTAAGATCACGTATCATAAATCTGCTGCGTACCCACAAAGGTTTTCTTCACCTTCATTCAGCCATGTGTGTGTAGATAGGCACTTCCTGTTCAACGCCATTTAAGGGAAAAACAAAAAGCCAAAAGCCACTTGGATTTTCTAACCTGTGACTCGAGTCACAGCCAGTCTTGCTTCTCTTCCCTCCGACAGCGCATCTTCGGATCTCTCAGGGCCAATGAGGATGATGTCCCTTCCACCAAGTCCACTCACGCATTGGCCGCCGTCCTGCCGCGGGCTCATTCCCTGGTCCCGTCCTGTTCTTCTGAAGGTCTTTGGCTGCTCCCTTCTGCCCTCTATTTCCTTAGTTCTCTAGGGGAAGTCTATCTCTTCCATTTTGGAAGATGCCTCGTTTAGTTTTATTTGAAGGGCATGTGAAGAGTGTGAGTAACAAGGGTGTTTAAAAGACAACGACCTTGTGATAACTTTATGAAATAAGCTTTGCAAATCTCAGTACTTGGTGTTTGGCAGTTTTGTGACAGACGTGGATGACTTCAGGGGTGTTGGGGTTCTATCCCCCGGTGCAGATTCTGGCCACTCCACGCCATCCAGGAACGATCTTCCCTGGACAACACACACCTGGATCTGGAGAGCTCGGGCTGTCACTGCCTTTATAAGCTCGGCACCAAGCCTATTCCAGGAAGCGGTGGCAGCAGGGTGCATATCTGATGGAGGTTATTCAGCTGCTGACATTACATATGACTAAAAAGACTAATTTCCAGAATAATTTTAAATGTTTTTAATGTGCTTTTGAAAATCTTACTTTACAAGGCAACTTGTCTTCCTGTCACCAATCTTTCGATACAAAAATCTTACAATGCTTTATTTGCTATAAAACTACCACATGAAAATTAGGGTTAGGCGGTTCTTCTCTCTCACCAGCCATCCCGTTATAAGGAACGTCCACTGGTCCATTCTAAGACCACTGGGCTTCAAATAATAAGTTATACAATTCTGTACATAATTACAATATGTCTAATTAGAGTTTTAATATGCATTTTTATCATACACCACAGTCAAACACCACAAGGGCAAACAGAACTGCTCTCTATGGAGTTACTTGTTGGCAAATAAGGGCAATCCTCTACAATCTGCCCGCCATGTCAGTGAGGCTCATTTGGTTTCCATATACTGAAGAACAGCCAGCTTTCTTAGGCACTGATTCAGGCAGATTAACCTTGCAGAGAAACCTGGCTCTCTTGGTGAGCACATGCATCAGACATACCCCCGTCCCCCAAAACTAACCACGTAGAACATACTTTTTTATTAGCATATAAAAATAATCTTTTTGTTAGAATCGTGCCTGTCTTCAAATACTTGGCGCCTCTGCTCTGATCCACCTTCACTGCAACAGTCTATCAGGCTAACATTCCAGCTGGAGAGTCAAAGTGGAGCATGACCCGACCACTCGTGCTTGGAGCAAACCCATGTCACAGGGGCATGACTACCACGTCAAAGCGTGTACAGCAGCAGCAGCAGCAGCAGCAGCAATAGATTCAACCTGCCTGGAAGGGGATGTGCGTGCACATGTATGTATGCATGTGTGCACGTGTGTGTGAGTGTGTGTGTGTGTGTGTGTGTATTTGAGTGAGACAAGACTTCCCAGAGCTGCCGCAGGCCTTTTCCAGGCATGTTCTCTGGTCCCACACTCCAGATCTTATCAGTCTGGAATGAAAACAAGCCATCTCACAAGATTCCTTTGTGTGGACGATAACTTTCCTCACAAACATTTTAGTGTCATAGGAACAAGCATGGGCATAAGCAGAAAGTACCGAAGGCTCCTCCATGTGAAACCTTTAGAAGCTGACTGCAATCCAGTCCAATATGGCACTATTATTGAGCATTAGTAACTCTGAAATGCAGAATTCATTTTTACAGGCCTGCAGGGTTTAACAGGATAACTGAGAAATGAGAGACTGGGCACTGGGGGAAGCGGAGTGACATGGGGGGGAGGGTGGGGATGGGGAGCAAGCCCTCAGGAGGGGGCAGCGGACCTGGGTCCTGCTTCTGGCTCTGTCGGTCACTGGCCCCTTCCCGGGCCTCAGTTTCCACACCTTTAAAATGAGGAGGTTGCACTGCTTTATTTCTATGGTCCCTTCCAGATTTAATGTGGTATGAGTGGACTTGTCTCCTGGACATGGGAGTAAACAGGTCAATCAAATAAACAAACCATAAAAAAGCAAGTATTGCATCTCCAATTTTTAAAACATGTGCAAAAACACTCAGAATACAGTAGAGAGCAAAGCCTGCATCTGCAAAGCCCCCGAGCCACGTGCCAACACCACTCTCAGCCCCTCCATGGGCACAACACAGCAGGATCCTGGGAGCAGAACCGACACCGTCCTGAGGGGGTGGAGCGCACCCCCTTCTGTTCTGGCCCCTGCCGCCGGCCCAGGGCCCCAGACGACTGACATCTGGACTGCTCTGGGGCCCTTGCCAGTCTGGAGCACATCTCAAAGAATTCCAGGGATCTCTCCCTCAAACTGGCTACTGACAACTGTTGGAATGGACAAAGGGGCAAAGATGACAGGCAAGGAAGCGTGGCTGGGAAACCGGAAGCAGCTGTGCATGTGATCCGCCCCGCCCTCGCCTCCCGACCCCACCAGGGGGCTTTGACTCTGAGCAGCGCACAGTATTATGCGGCACCATGCGGCAGCGGGGCTCAGAATCTCAGTGCTGGGGCGTCCGGGTCCTGCTGTCACATGTTGTAGGCCACATAAATAGGGTCCAGCTGGTCAGCCAGGAATCCGTCCCGCAGGTGCATGCGCTGCTTCTCGCCCCGAGAATTGATGGGGATGACACCGGGGTCCACAATGACCACCACGCCCACAATGAGGAAGTGCTCCTCGAGAACCACGTTGGTCACCAGTGCCACCAAGTCCAGGGCTTCCTGCTCGGGGCCTTCCAGCTCCACCACCACCACCAGCAGGTTGGTCCACGTAAACACAGCACTGGGGACAGGGAACACAGAGTCAGCAGCCAGGCACGTCTGCTCTGAAGTCACCCATTTTACAGGACATCAGGCAGACGCGCACTCCCTCAGCGAGGGGGCCAAGGCTCTCCAGCCCTGGCACTGTTTTCCTATGACGTCCCTCGGGACCCCCTTGGTTTAAAAACCAGCCAACAGGAGAGCCTGTAAAAGGCAAAACAAGCCCCAACTTGGGGAGGCCTGGACCGGGCACCAGGAGCTCTGCCCTCCAGGCTCTGACAGCCACAACCACGGAAGGGACCTTGGCCACGTCGAGGGCCCACAAAACGGCCCCCCGTAGGGGAGAGCTCTCAGTGGCTCAGGAGACACAGCCCGGCCCAGTGTCAGGGAGTTGGGCCCTCGGGGGCCAGTGGGGCTTGGGGCCCGCTCTTACCACTCAGCAATGCTCTTGTGGGCTCTGATTACAGAGGTCTCGATGTCGATCGGGTGGTACCTCATGCCTCTCAGTTCCAGGGTTTCATCCAGAGAGCCAACCACATACAGGGCATCGTGCCTCTCTGTGAACAACACCCTCCGTGTAAAGAAAACCCACGAAAAGCCACTCGGTGTGCACTCGGTCCTCGGACCCAGGCCCAAGATGAGCAGCTCAAGACAGGGAGTACGTCTCTCCAGTGGCCTGAAGGCTGCAGGGACGTGACTCTAGAACCGCCCTAGAAGTCAGGAAGCCGCTCTTTCTGCCTCTGTTTCCTGACCCCACGGGCAAACAACAGCCTAGGCCGGGTGGGGAACCTGCGGCCTCGAGGCCAACGTGGCCCTCTAGGTCCTCCAGGGAGGCCCTCTGACTGAATCCAGACTTCACAGAACAAACCCTCTTATTAAGGCTGAGGCCCTGAGCCCTCCTTCTGTCTCCACTCACTTGAGCAGGAAGAGGGGCTGTTTTCTTGGGTCTTTGCATCCCCCGGGCTGGGTAGACATGAGGTGCCTCATAAAGGCTCGAGGGCTGATTGATTAGAAGCCTTTCCATGAGGGAAGGGAAGCCAGATTTTCACAATGATGTGAATGGGGACTCCCAGGGCTGTGGAAGAAGCCAGTTCCTTCCCTGGGGCCCTGATCCACAAACACACGTTTATCTTCAAGGGCTGCCCCTTTCCGTCTGGCCCGACTGGACCCTATGGCTTTGCTCCCCAAAGCAAAGCGCTGGCCGCCAGCTGCCTCCCCGTCTTACCTCCACTGGCATCAGTGAGATCCGTTCTTCGGAGAAACCCCAGGTAGCCCGTCCTGGCCCAGATGGTCTGGGTGTCTCCAAAACTGAGCCGAGCACTGAAGTGGTCAGCGTGCAGAGACTCCTCGCCATAGATCGTGTAATAGCCTGTGGCGTTGTGTGGACTGCTCACCCAAATCTGGGGAAGGAAGCATCAGAATCAATGCCCCGTGGGCACAGGCCATGCAGCAGAATGGACTGAGGCAGCAGGCCAAGGGGACAAAAGAGGCCCAGTTCAGCTTCCATATGGGGTCTGGACAGCCCTGTCTCTCGCATCCCGTCGCTGGAGAGTTAGCAGGACAGGCCGGTGGTGGGGCTCAGGGTGGATGAACGGGTATGGCGGGCCTGATCCCAGCCCTGACCGCTGCAGCGCCCTTCAGTGTGACACTGCAGGAAGCTCTCTCCACACGCTCAGCGTCTGGACCAGCCATTCTCTGAGGCTAGCTTTGGGAAGCATGGCTGGCACTGTGGTCCCAGACGCTCCCCCCCCCCCCGAGAGACAAGGAAGCCCTGGCACACATTTTGCTCACTAACTTGCTATAAAAACACCTATCCTCAATTAGAGGCGATCCTCTGTCTAAATGTGGAAATTGGTGACAACACAAGCTTTTATTTCCCGAAATGACGGGTTCACTGTTCCCTACTAAGCACAGTCTCAGCTCTGGATCCTGATGTCCCGAGCATCCCATGACCTCAGCCAACCTCTCTGCCAGGCTCCCCTTGGCGCCAGCCAGGCCCAACACAGTCCTCTCAACACTCTTCCCTCCGCACCTGGGGCCCTGCCTTCTCCCTGGTCCTCAGAACACCCCTGCAGGGATCTAGATTCTTCTCTCCTCCCACTGGACCAGAAGCAGCTCCTAAGAGCAGAGCCTGTGTCCTGTCCTTCTCTGCACCTCCCAGACCTGGCACTGGGTCTGGCATAGAGTAGGACCTTCATAAACATCTGACGGATGGAACAAATGAGTCTTCCGAGTTAGCGTGTGGATTCAGCAGGGGTGGTGTGTGAGGAGGAACGTCCCATGGAGAGGTGGGATTTGGGGCTCTTACCTCCCTCCCTGGCCTCCTGCTAAGACTTCAGACCCAAGTCCGTGGCCTCCCATGAGGCAGTGCCAGCTAGGTAAATACAGGCCCTGCCACCAAAAGGCCACATGCCAGTGGCTTTACTCACCCTCCCCACCCACTCAGGGCTGCTCTCTGCTACCTCCTCCCCTGTGCCTCACCATGCCAGCACCAACCAGCCTTTTTCCTCCTCCTGCTGGGCTAAGTGGGACAATAGGAGCTAAAGGGCCACAGTGGGGGATGACAGCACCCGCAGGGAGGTCAGGAGGTCAGCCACAGACAGAGGAAGGGGGCCCGGCAGCAGGGGCAGAACCAGTCACCGTCTGTAAATGCTCTGCTCCTTTCTCCTTCACTCATGGCCTCCCTAGGAGCTGGTCTGGCTGGAGCTGAGGACATGGGGGACCACGACGCAATCCTAATGGTCAGCACCCCCATTCTCTCAGGAAGTCACCCTGACACTGGCCCAGCTCCCTGACCTCAAAGGTCGACGCTCACCTCGCCCAGGTGGGAGTCGCCAAGGGGGCCCTTTGTCTCTGTATGAGCGATGATGACTTTGACTCCGGGGAGAATCTGCAAGGAGAAAGAGGGCATCCTCTTTGGCAGAGGAAGGGCCCGAGGGCATGGGGTCCAGCCCTGGAGACCTGGGGATCTAGGACCCACCCCAAGGACATTAGGAAGAGAGAGAGGACGTGGTTGGAGGCAGAAGTGAGGGGAGGGCTCAGACGCAGTGACGCCTGGCTCTCCAGCCGCCAGGCTGTGGCCCGTCCTCCCTCACCCTCCTCCTGCTGCTGACGCGCCTCTTGCCTCTGCTCCCCCTGGCTTCTGAGACACCCTCTGTAGCACAGGGAGGCCAGGCTTATGGACATCTTCTTACAAAATGCTGTGAAAAGGCCACAACTGTTTCAAATCAATTCAATTGCCTTCTAGAAAGACTTCTCAGGTGTCCCTGGTTCTGACACTCTCTTCTGTGCTGTCAGCCCTCAAGGGCCAGCACCTAACACCAGACCTCGCACACAGCAGGTGCTTAATAAATGCTCACTGCACTGATTTGAGTTAGTGTGGCCCATGGCTGCAAGCCCCTGATCCACACTGACCTTTTTCATATTAATAGGCAGTGTGGGGCAGTGGAGGGAACCCTGGCCCTGGAGTCAGGAGTTCAAATCCTGTCTCCCTGAGCTCCCTGGTACTGCCTCCTGACTGTTACCCCTCCAGGCATCCTATACGTGGCTAGCAAAGACTGTTTCCTTCAGTCCACGGCTAACCACGCACCTCCCTGACCAGGACAGTCGCAGGGGCTCCTCCGGCCGCTGTTTGGCTCCAAAAGCCTTCCCAACCTGGCCCAGCCCACCTTTCCAGCCCCTCCTGCACTCCCAGATCTGGCCTTTGTCCAGGCCTGGAAGGGACTTCCCCTCTCCCACCTCTCAGAGTCCCCTCGACCTCTACGACACAGGGCAGACATGTATTCTGCAGGAACCCTTTCCTGGTTCTGCCCCAGCCCCCAACTTTGTATTTATTCACATTTATTCACTACCCACACACACACAGCCGTCTCCCTCCAGGAGATCAGCACCTGTGCCACTGTGTCCCTGGTGCCTAGCACAGTGTTTAAATTGCTGCAGAACGGGCCAAGTATGAGATACCAAGAAGGAAAGAAGGGGTCAGATGCCAAAGAAAGGAGGTAACATGGTGCTGATGGAATTCAGACAGAAAGGGGATGACCCGGACAGACCGGGTTGGGGACAGAACTAGGTGGAGGGATCAAGAGTCCAGGGGTGAGGGCCAGCGGTCAAGGTCCTGGCTGCCGGGGAGCTGCTGGGGCCTGCCATAGAAAGAGCCAAGGAGGGAGAAAAGAAACTTTTGGGGGGAATGTGAAATAACCCAATCCACTGTCAGAAGGATTCACTTGATAATCCCTTGTAATGAACTGAATTATTTGTCCACCCAATCAAAACCGCGACGCTTACTATACCCAGTGAGGCAACTCTGACCTTTCTTCAATTTCCTCGTCTATCTTACAGGTGCCAGACATGGCCACAGTGGGCTCTGCTCTGAGCAGGACAAGCAGGGCTGCCAAGGGGGAGGTGTGTCTGTCCCCCTGAGGTCTTTCCCTCATGCCCTCATCTGCCTTTCAGCTCGATCACAAAGGATGAGGAGGCCAGGTGTTCAGCCGGGGAGATGAAGGGTTCATCTAGGCCAACACCCCATGACGTTAGCCCAGGACCCAGGACTGGCCGTTCCATTACCTTTCCAGACTCCATCAATGGTAAACTGTGTGGAGAACCCCGTTCTACTAGTCGCACCCTAAAATGAAAAAGAGAGAAAACATTTTGCAAACATTTGGGCTCTGTATTCAAGCACCCTTGAAAATGCAGTAATCAAATAATCACAATGGAAGCATTCCATCCAAGGATTTCCATAGCTCTGCACACGGCAGGGCCCAGTCTGGACCCCAGGAGGTGCAGGGGGCTACTGAGGCACGTCTGCTTTTCACCAGCAGACACACCACTGAGCATCTCACCCTGGGCATCTCTCTGCTCTTTATTTTGAATCTGAATAACATTGGCTTCTTTCCCCAAAGTACACACTTTGGCTTTCTGTGTCCTGAAGGACCCTCTGTGCAGAAGCAGAAGGAAAGAGCTTTTTGGGACACAAAGAAGTCTCCAGATTCTGCTCGGGATGATGGAGTTGGGCCAAAATATGAAAAGCGCTGGAGGAAGAATGTTGCCCTTCCAAGGACCCCAGGTAGCCCTGACACAACCAATATTTTTTGGGTGAGGCCTCTGCCAAAGCATCCCAGCCCTGGATGGACCGATGGGCAACAAAGAGGTGCCTGATGGGTACAGGCATGTTCTCATTGATGACTCAGGCACAAAAAGTGGCAAAAATAAATCACCCCAGAAACAGCTGACCCCCCAAGGAGGGGAGCCAGTAATACAGCAAGGGGGACAGTGAGAAAGGGGCCCCTCCTACTTGTGTCCCCAGGGAGTTCCTATCTCCCTGACCGCTGGCCTCTACCCCAAGGCTCTTGATCCCTCTGCCTAGCTCTGTCCCCACTTTGGGTCTGTCGAGGTCATCCCCTTTGTGTGGGTTCCAGCAGGGAAGTCCCAAAGGTACAGAGAACATGCAGAGTGATAGGGGAATGGGGGCAGGAGGAGCCGGGGCCCAGGGAGCCTCAGGAAAGGCCAGGCCCTTGGGCTGAGCACTGGAGGGTTCAGGGGCGGTCAAATGGGGAGGTGCAGAGTTCAAAATCTCAGAGCCACTGGGTAGCAGCCAGGGGGCCAGAATAATGTGACTGTGAAAGGCGGAGAGCTGGTAGTGACGAGGTCAGGCCCATGCTTTAGGAATAGCAATCTGGCCATTTGAGGGACTGGGGGGTCATGGATTAGATGGGGAGAGACTGGACACTGGAAAGCTGCTGCTATCACCCAGGTCAGTCAGTTGGTCAGCTAGCACTGATTAAGAGCCTGCTGTGTGCCAGGCCCTGGGCTAAGCATGTGGACAGAAAGCAAAGGCCAGCCTGTGCCTCCAGAGCTCCTAGTCTGGGGAGGGAGGGAGGTAGAGACAGGCCAGGTCAGGGTCATAACTGAGCGGAAGGCACGAGCCGGGAGGAGGAGCCGAGAAGGCTCTCACTCTCAGAGAGCAGGAGCCTCGCTGGGATGGAACCAGATGGCTGTGGGGTAATGGCAGAGAAGGAAGGGATGGGGAAGTCACTACAGAGTTTTCAAGATTTTGCAGCCAGCTGAGCATGGAGAGAGGATGAGAGGCAATGGATGCGAAGTCTCAGAGGGCTCCCTGGTAGTTAACAGGCACAGCTGAAGTCCAGAGGCAGGGTGCTGGGCAGGTGCTGTGCAGCAAGTCGGGCAGGGATGGGCGTCAGGGTGGCAGATACAGAATCTGCCGCGGACATGCGAGTGTAAGTTGTCTCTGGCACACCCAAGCAGAGCTGTCGGCCCACACTGGCAGCCGCAGATGCAGATGCGGGGCCCAGGACAGAGACGAGGGTGAGATTTGGGAGGTGCCCACATCATGGTCATGACTCAGTCTGTGGGAGCTAATGGGATGACTGAGAGAGAACAGAGTCCAGGGCAGCTCCTGGGGCTCCCTGGACCTCCCACGGGGCGCAGATGAGGCTTCTGCTAACCGGACTGAGGACGAGCAGGCAGCAAGAGAGTGTCATGAAAACCAAAGCCCAGTTCTCTGCCCTCAGCTGCTCAATGTCCCTGTGACACAGCCATGGGGAGCTTCGACCTACGCACTGCCATGGAAGAAACCCCTGCCTGAGCCCCTGGCCCACGACACCACCCATGAACGCACAGAAGCCTGCAAACTCCCGCTGGAGAGGGGACAGAGTCCTGGGCTGGGAGCTAAGAGCACCTGGGGTTCTGTGCCCACGTGGCCACTGCGTTAGGGTCCTCTGCGGATGGAGGGGCAGACTCAGCCTGCAGTGCCTCATGGACCTCTCTCTGTGTTTATGTAAAAGAATTTAGAGCTTTGCCAATGTTTACCCACCACGCCCAGGGACGCAGCTTCCAGTTTGTGGACACAGCATATGGAAAGGTTGTTACCCATAACAGGCTGCTGACAGACATCATCCAGGAAACTTTTCCATCACATCCTCACATACTTTGTACCCATGTGGCCCAAAGGGAAGGAGGAGGGACCTACCTGTCATGGCGCAAGGCCCGCATGTCGACGTATACCGTGGTGGGGTCGGGGCCGGCGGTGCCCTGGCGGGAAAGGAAAGAGAACGCTCAGGAACCGAGGCTCCCAACAAGCTGTACTTTTATTCAGCTAACAAGACCATCTACAATTATGCTGCTGGATGTGCAGAAGGGAGCGGCTGCTTCAGGCCAGCCCACAGGGCCCGGCCCCGGGCAGCTTCAAGGCCTGCGAGCTTCCTCTTCTCTAGATGGGCCGACAAGAGCCAAAACACCCTAGGTGGCAATGAAGGGACTGGCACCCGAGACCCGGGAATGGGCCGATGGAATTTCCAGACTCTGCCCTATCCTCTAAACTAATCCTATAAAGGACGATAATGAGGTTTCCTCAGAGAATTTGCAAAATGAAGCATCAGTGTTCTTTTTCTACTTTTCTTCAACATTTCAGGCTAAGAATGCATTCTGAGACAGGAGTCCACTCCAGCAGCCTCCCCCACCCCTCATTCCCACATAACACGAGGATTTAACGAATCTGGAACACAAGGACAACTCCCCCTCCCGACACAACAGCAGCTTCTCCCCAGCAGCTGCTGCAAGGAGTCGTCAGAGCAGGTGACCAAAGGGGCCACGGCCTGAGCTGGGTGCCTACGAGGACGGGGTGGGAAGACTGCAGCACATGCACACATGCCACCATACCTGCTCAGCCAGCTTTCCCAGCCTGTTGGGCTGACAGAGGGGCCCCAAGCAGAAGGAGCAGAGGTCAGCAAAGGGAGAGGGACAGAGGAGAAACAGCCAAAAGGAAGAGACAGAAAGGTGACAAGGAACAGGAGACACACGGTCAGAACAAAACCCATCATTGCGTCTTGAAGAAAAGAAAGGGATGTTCCGTTATGATGGTTCTGAAAGCATGGGGCAGCCCCCGTCAACTCCCAGGACAACCAGCCGAGACAAAAACAGGAGGTGGGGACGAAGGCCGGCGGCTGGCTTGTTTGTGGCCACCTTAAAGAAATGGGGGAGGGGACACAGACTTGGAAAGACCTCCCATAGTGGCACTGCGTCCACGGCCTCCTCCCAGCGACCGTCCACTTTCTTTGCTCATCAGCTGTCTGAAAAGCGCGTGTGCCTTTTACTCACAAGACTGAGTGGCAGGTTCTAAGCAGCCTGGGCCACGTCACAGGCCGATATCCAGAACCCCATTAAGTCAACAGAAAAGGGGCTTCAGACACAGTTTCTGTTCAAGGGAGTCTTGGCAAGCTGCTGACATAAATGCCATCCAAACGACTGGGGTTCATAAATTAGGGATTCACACAATATTTAAAAGCAGAAGGGAAGGAAGAAGACTGAGGGAGTGGAATGAGGATAAGGCCTTGAAGACCAAGTTAACTTGCGAACTGGATGAGAAAAGGGTGTATCCACTGCTCAGGAGTTATTCTGCTACGCTAACATTTCATCTTCCGTTGTAACTAAGGAATCATGGAATGCTCATGGCAGAAGGGATCCTCATGCCCTTTAGCGCACCCCAACACCATCCTCCCATTTTACAGAGAAGCCTGGGGCCTGGCAAGGCTAGCAGCCAGTTGATCACATGGCTAGTGGGTATCACAGCTAGGGAAAGGGCCTGGAGAGGCTTCAGACTCTCAGTCAGGGCCATTTACCTGGGATCCCGGTGCCCACCTGAGTGTTTCTGGGCCCAGGGCAGGAGCTCATCTCACCTGTAAGCAAATGGCTACATTCACTCTGCATCCGAATGTGGTGCTCACGGCCCGGGCAGAGAGACCCAGGTCTTTGAAGAGCTTGGAGAAGGACTGTGTTAATGCGATCCGTGGTCTCTCTTCTGCAACCACCATACACGTGCGCACGCAGGACAGGTTCACACTTTTTGCCTGTTGGGGAATGGGCAAGCGGGCAGGGTGAGGAATCCTCCAACATGGCCATGACTTAGGCTCTAGGGCCTGGGTCAAGGAGAGAACCTGAGGGACCATTCCCCCCCAGGCACCCAGGCAGCTTGGCCAAGACACGTCTGTGCTCCCTTGAGGGCAGGCACAATGTCCTGGCAGTCCTGAAAACACAACCACCAGCACCTAACAGTGCACTTCAATCTGTAATAGCACACAATTTAAGAGAGATAAGCCACAAAGGACATTTTCTCTGATAGAAATAGCTTGTCACCACCCTTAACAAAACTCAGAAACGTCAATGTAGGTGGAAAAGTCCATAATACCACGGTGCTTGCAGTGACCAGTGAGTCCGCTGTGCGGGGCATCCTCGCCGCTGACGCAGGTCACAGCTGCTCTGTGCTCCAGCCTGGCCTCTTAGCTCTTCGACTACTGGGGGTGTCAATGTCCTCGTGGGCCGTTCATGTCTTCACTCACACTCCCTGCCCGACAGTCTGCCCGCCTCCCATGCTGGGGGGGAATGGAGCCAAGATGGTGGAGTGAAAGCAGTGACTTGCTTGAGCTCTCCCCCAAATCCTTCCAAATACCCATAAAAAAATGGCTCTAAGCAAATACTAAAGCAGCAGAACCCACAAAAAGACAGAGTAAAACAAATTTCCAGCCCAAGACAGCCTGGATGGTTGATCAGAAAGGCATATCATGCCGGGTGGGGAGAGGAACGCGGTTCAGTGTGGGCGTGCAGGCCACAGTGAACCTGGAGCAGGCCTCAGAGGACTGAATCGCAGGCAGCTGTGGTGGTTTCCAGACTCCTCAATCCACAAACGCCAAAGACAACTTAGGTCAGTGGGAAAAGTCTGTTTCTGCAGTGCTGAGAGAGGAGCTAGGTCAGAGCCAGTGCCAGAGCAAAGAGCAGGAGGTGCGGGGGCAGTGGCTGTGTCCTGAGCTTCCGGCCCACAGACTGAGGGGGAATCCAGTGGCTGATCAGAGGGGGGACTGCAGGGATCTCTTTCCCAGTGCTGAGGCAGGAATCTCTCGCTTTGCCTGTGCTTGGATCTGGGTCACAGTTCTGGGCGGCAGTCCTGGGGTGAGGAGGAGTGCTGGCATGATGGAGCTTGTAGTGGTTGTGCAGAGGAAACCCTCCTCACAGTTCCAGGACAGAGAAGAGTGCTTGTGGCCGGTCACTCAAAGACCAGAGCACAGGCCAGGAAAAGAGTAAACACCTCGCCCCTTATCATACCATCTTGGAAGAACTGAAAATTTACAGGTCCCTAGAATTATCTCTGAAAACAGCTGCACAAACCCCTGAAACTTGGGACAGTGCATTCTCCACAACTGGCTGGGATCATGAGCAAGCTGCGCAAAAAGAGCCAGACTGTATTATCTTACTTTGGAGAGGACGCTCTGGGCCGCTTCCTGAACGGTCATCCTTCCTTCCAACTGCTCAGTCTGGCAGCCACCCAGAGGGAGGAGAGCGAGGCTCGGGCCTGCAGAACCTGCACACTACAGTCCCACTCCACCCCTCCCCAGCTGAACTTCAGGCTTGTCCAGAATGGGATTCCTTCTTCTGTTTGCGCTCTGCATGAGGCTGACCATAACCTCAAAACAGCCGTCCCTTTGCCTGGGTCCGCTGGATAAGTGTGGGGTTTAGTCCCAATGGCACAAGAGTCCTTCCAAACCGTGACCGCAGTCCTCGCGTCTCGCTCCCGCCGTGTCTCCTGTTCTCTGGGCTAAGTGCATCCTTTCCCGCCAACAGCCCGGCTGGGCCTGGGGCCCGGCTCCCTCAGTATGGCGGTGCGTGCTCCAGCCTGACGATGTCCTTCCAGAAGACATGGCCTCCAGCACCGATGCGCTGATTCCAAGGGTGAGATGCAGCTACTCTGGGTCAGTGACGCATAGAGCACACCAGTCTTCTCACAGCCAGAGCTGCCTGGGGCGGCCCCCGGGACACCCAAGGCTTGGTGACACGGTCTACTGTCCAGCCTGCGTTTGCACCCTGCTCTTGTGAAGTCTGGGTCTTAGCAAGGCGCAGAACTTGAGGTGGACCTGCCCAAGTTCATCCTTCTCTGCTGGGAAGATGGACTGCGTTCTTGGGCCCTGCCCACTTTCTGTGTCTGTTGATCTGACAAGCATGCTACCTGGTGAGGCGGGGGCTGGCTGACACCTCTCACGTGTCCCCAGCACTCAGAAGGTGCTTCATCACCGTGTGCTGACTCTCTCTGACTCTGGGGCTGCATCCCTTCTTGCATCACATCACTTACATAAAGTGGAAACTGAGGAAAGTGATGGCAGGCCCCGGGTGGTTGATGCTTTTCCACCAGCTGACCGTATAGATGGTGCTTCCCCATCGCTGACACACGAGGCTCTCCCAGCAGAGGGTGATAGCGCCGAGCAGCCGAGACCATGCCGGACCCTCACGTGTGAGGGTGTGATGGCGCAGCAAGGGCCTCGGCCCACTGGCCCACCGATGATGCAGAGGGGCCAGGGACACGAGGGGCAAACAGGGCTGTGGCAGAGCTGCAGGAAATGCCAGAGCAGAGGTGTCTAGACCTCCCGGGAGGGAATGAAGCTACCCTTTTCTCATCTCCTCGTGAGCGCTAGCGAAGGGGCACAGACCAAGAACTGATGAATCCCAATCCATCCATGTGGAACCATCCAGGGCTGACCTTCAGCTCCAGTAGCCATTCAGGAGAGGCAGGGTGGGTCTCAGAGGCATCCCGGGGTGGAGAGGAAGTGGAAGGCGTTCTCGGTGGACCAGAAGGGAATGGCCCTCTGGGTCTGCTGGGGGTGAGGAGCAGAAAAAGCACTCCTCTGGCATTTTAGCCAAAGGTGGACAGAGGGAGGGAAGAGCCCACGCAGGCCCAGGGGAGGGAGGGAGGGAGCCGCAGTCCCAGCCCCCTGGCCTTAAGGTGCCCCCTCCCGGCCGTGGGTCACTCACCCTGAGAAGATCTGTTTGTGTCCCCAGCCCTTTGGTGCACATCTCCATGACGGAGTAAGAGCAGAAGGTGACACGGACTCGATACTGGCTCACGGCCGACAGCCACAAGGACACGTTGTTTTCAAGTTCGAGTGGAGGGACCAGGAGGGACTGGTGTCCTGAATAGACACTGAGGGAAACAAGGCAGGGAGCACGGTCGGTCGAGTGCCAGACCGGGCCCTGCCCTCCCTCCCTTCCCGGCCCTCCATGGCGGGAAGCCTGGGGGTGGGACCTGCGCACCTGCACAAGCACCAGAGGGCGAAGCCCAGGCCGCAGTAGGGATCCAGGCAGACAGCGATCTGCCGGGACGGGTACAATTCACACTGAAGCTTGATCGACCGGCATAAGGCACTTGTGGCTGCGTGAGACATCTGAAAGAGGGGGACAAAGTGGGGTCTCTGGATAGGGATCCTGCTCCCCGCCTCCTGCCACCCCGCCCTGGCATGCCAGGGCGACCCGCCCCACTCAGGGTGGCCTGGAAGGATCAGCTGCAGAAGAAGAGTCCTAAGGCCTAGGGGGGAGGAAGGGCAAACAGGGCACCCAGAGGCACAGGGCTGCTGTGACCAGCCTCTTCCTTGGTTTTGTTCTGGCCCACAGAACTGTCATTTGTCGTTATAATACTACTAAACAGTTCTTAAAATAATAACACAGGTGTGCTGGGGGTGCAAGGGCAGACTTCTGAGTCCATTCATAAAGGGAGCACCCTCCCTAAGGCAGACAGCAAGCACAGCTTTGCAGGGCTCACGGGTCCTTTAGAGGCAGAGGGGCTCCACAGGGCCTGCCCAGGGCCACCCAGCTAGAAGGCTTCAGAGGCAGGTAAGACTCGTATTCGGGTCGTCCCGCCTCTCAGCCACTGTCACCCTCCAAGGATGAAACCAAGAGTGGCAGCACCAGAGGCCTACCTTGACTCCTGCTAATATGCCCGTGGTGGAAACGCTGAAGTCTAAGTAAGCCAGCATGTCGGGGGAGGGAGGCCGAAAAACACTCGCTACCCTCTTCTTTGGGAGGTCATCTGTTACAGGAGAAAAGGTGGCCCCCTAAGTGGCGAAGCAGGGAGTGGGCATGGCTGATGGCCTCACGATCAGCCACGGACAGGCCACCAGGGTCCCAGGAAGGGGCCGTTCAGGCTCCCAGGAAGACTCCAGGTGGGCGGGTCCCCCTCAGCAGGACCAGGGAGCAGCCGGGCCGGCAAGGGGCAGAGCCATACAAAGGACAAGGCGTTCTTGAGGGACAGGAAGGAAGAACGTTGCAAAGGTATCTGCTCAGAATTCCCTTGGGTCCTGGCCTGGGGGAAGCCCGGGGCATTTAGGGTTTTCCCTCCTCCATGCTGAGTGATCTAGTTCAGGTGGGAAGGGGCAGTCACCAGCTCCGACTCATTAAACCAATGGGGATGGGGCAGCTAGGTGGCGCAGTGGACAGAGCACCAGCCCTGGATTCAGGAGGACCTGAGTTCAAACCTGCCCTCAGATACATAACACTTACTAGCTGTGTGACCCTGGGCAGGTCACTTAACTCTGACTGCCTTGCCAAAACAAATGAATAAATAAACCAATGGGGACCCCAACCAGACTGCCTTGGTAGTGGTTCCAGGGCCTGGCCCTGATGGATGAGCAAGAGGGGACAGTGAGGACCCTGGAGGGATGGGCCACTGCTGTGCTCACAGTAAGTCAGTGGTACCACCCACGCATCCTACAGGTTGGGAGGTCCCCGCCCATGATGACACAGTACAATGTGGCAGAAGCCCCACTGAACCCCTGGCAGATCCTGTCATTCCTAACCCGCTACCCCCCGCTCCTTCTGTACAAGGGCTTGGAGTTTACCAGCAGGGGTCCTTCCTGGGCAGGCCTCCTTGGATCTACCAAGGATAGTCCTTTGGTGAAGTGGCTCATGGAACCCATCAAAGAGGGCTCCACTCACCGAGGCTGCTCAGCCTGGTGGCATCTGGCCCAGCAAAGGTGCCAGACTGGCCTTCTGACCACGTGCTGGCCACATGGCCACACCCCTCCATAACTGCCCCACTTCCCCAACGTGCTCCCTCACAGCCGTTCACCTCCCACGTCAGCACCTGTGTCTAAGATGGTTGGCCACGTCTTCACGTCCACGGCAGCACCCGCTTCCTTGGACTTCAGCAGCTTCATTATTGCTTGGGTTGTCAGAATACACGTGGACTTGCTGACCTGAGCGGAGGAGACTATTCCAGATCCAGGAGAGGAACTTCCTTGGCTCCCACCACCCACCCAGAGCCCAAGAAAGCCTGCTCTCCCCTGGACCCTCCCCAGGCGGGTCATCTCACAGAGGGACACAGAAGGACCACGGGGCTGGTTTTCACCTGCTGAAGCCACCAAAGCTTTTACAAACTTACTTCGACAATCATCTTGACAGTGGGCAGAGTGGTGGCGAGATTCTGGGGATGAGGGGGGCGCACCGTGATGGGAACGCAGCCGGCGTACAGACAGCCATAAAAGGTGGCGATGAGGTCCACACCTGGGAACCAACCACGCCCATGAGAGGCAGCGCCTTAAAGAGATGGCTCAGAGCCCCCTACCGCCAGAATAAAGAAACTATGTACACATCACCATCCAGGGCACAATCAGAGAAACTGATGGGTTCCGAGGCCCGCGTTCCTACAGTCATGACTAGGGATAGTGTCCAGGGATGGGCAGCCAGCCATGCCCGAGAAGACACAAGTCAAATCCTACTGCGGTCGGCAAGGGAAAGACCCCTACTCGTCCCACACTATGAGAGGCTTTCCATCAATGGGTACAGGAACGAAGTGAATTCCCTGCTAGGGCCGTGGAAGCCAGCAGCCCCCTCGGTGTCCGGAGGGACGCTCTCAGCTTCCGCCGTGTGGTGGCTGCGCCAGCCTGCTCCTCGGCTCCCCCTCACAGCCATGTACCAAGAGGATGGTGCAGGAGCTGAGGAGGGAGGGAACCACGGGGGCCGTGCCCATCGCTGGAGCCACTTTAAGAGACAAGTCATTTCCTGCCTATTACCGTCTGTAGCACCAACTCTGACGCACAGTAGGCTGTTTCCATCTCTGCCTCCTGGGGGGAAAGGGGGAACTCTGCACTGCGTGGGCGCTTGGCCATTCTCCAGGGCCCTCCCATGAGAAGTCTGGGCCGTTGCAAGGCAGGCCACCGTCTCCCTCTGCTTGCATTTCAGCTGGCTCCCGGGTCTTTCCAATTACAAACAGCATGAAGCTCTTCGGAGAGGCAGAATTCCATTTTTCATGTGACTGAGATCCAGGGCACGTTCTCAACCAACGAGTCAGACAGTCCATGCCCTTGATTACGGGGCCACTTGCCAGCTCGCTTCTCCCAGACCCATCAGCCACACTGAGTCTTGAGGTCTTGGGGATTTCCATTCATTGGGTGGGTGGGAACCAGCAGCCATGAGCTGGCTGAAGACCTGGGGCATTTTCTCAAGGGTTCACTGCATGGCAGTGTTTAAAGATCCCCATGGTCTAGTCCCCTCCTGACCTCGTCTTATTCCACATCTCTGCCCTTCACATCGGGCTACCTACCCCCACTGGCCTCGACCCGGGTAGGCCTGCACCTCTGGAAAGCACAATGGCCCTGGCTCCACGTGCAGAGCCACCAGCTTCCTTCCAATCCCGCTGTCCTGATCCCCCAGGCCCATCGCTCACTAGTGTTCTCCACTTGGTGGAGGAAAGGGACAGGGACTTTCCTTTCTGACACTGCTTCTTACTTATGTGCTCACCAGTCTGCTCTGACTTGCTAGAGGAGTGTAAGCACCGTGAGGGGTTACTTTCTGCCTCTGTATCCCTAGAGTCCAGCACAATGCCTGGCACAAAGGACGCACCAATGTCCTTGTCAAACCCAAGCTGTGCTTTTCGAACATTCATCCACCAGAGACTAGCTGGCGCTCTGGGCCTGTTTTAATGTTTTCTTATATATTTTGGTATCAAAGGTTTTTTCTCCCTTAGTTTATGTGCCACATTTTCCACCAATCTTTTTTTAAAATTTCATTAAAATAAAAAAATTAGATGCATCTAAAAATGAGCACATTCATTGTGCCTAATCACTTCTTCTATTTGTTGTTTCTACCATAACAGATAAATATTCCATTTTCTTCTATCTTCAATATATTTTTTAAAAAAATATTTCTCACTCAAATGAAACTTACTGAGGCCCTGCCACTTGCAGAGGCAGAGCAGGGAAAAGGCATTCTCTCTCCTCTCCTATCAGCCGCTCAATACCCAACCCTGTTCTCCTTCTCCCTAAGGAAAAGGACAGAGGATTCACCTCCTGGTCGAAGCCATAAAGTGCCCTTGGGGAGAGACAGGAAGTAGAATGTGCAGACCAGTCCCTCCGCCAGCACCACTGTGACCCCCCTGCTCCTCTCAGATCCCACTGCAGACAGGCCAGGACTCTGGGCCCACAGGCCCCCAAGGGCCTTGGGAAAAGCAGGGCTTCCAGCCCAGGGCCCTCAGCTGCCTCTGGGAGGCAGCTCCTGGGGACTGCCGGCCAGCCCCTGCGGGGGCTGCAGCTGCAACAACTGAAGATCCAGAAAGGAAATTCCTTGGCACCAGAGTCTTGGGCCCTGCTCAGTGGTTCAATCAGCATCAGGAATGGGCGTCATCTTATTAGTGGAAATGGCATGAAGGAGAGACCCAGACATCTGCTTTTGCCCCTGCCCCGAGGACCAGGGAACCTCTCTCTCTAAACTGCAGCTGAAACCTGCCCTTGTGTCCTCTCCCCTACTGAAGTGAGAGCTCCCAGAGAGCCGGAACTGTCTGACTTTTCTCTCCCTATCCCCGGCACCTAGCACAGTGCACGGTATGCAGTAAGCGCTTAGTACGAGCTTCATTCATTCGTACACACGTACACACAGTAGGAGACGTGGGCCTAAACCACGTCTTGCAACACTGCTGACCAGGCCTGCTGAGTACATCTGTTAGATAAGGACCCTTGCCCTAGCTTCAGTTTCTGCAGGCAGCCTACAAAATCTTTTGGGTTGTTTTCTGTTCCATCTCTTCTGCCACTGCAGGGTCAAGAGTAGCAGGCACTAGTTAGGAGCCCCGGTGGCCGATCCCGAAGGACGGTTTTAGGCCCGAGCGCCTCCTGCCCTGCTGAATGGTGGAGACTTGATTCTGGGTGTGCAGGAGAGCAAGGCTCCTCCCGCCGCTCACCTGGAGGGTAGACCAAAGCCACGTGGTCACCGACGTTCAGCCGGCCCCTCTCGCCCAGGGCAGCTGCTATTCTTTCGGCCCTCTTGTGCAGCTGGACACAGGTGGCAGCACTGGTGATGGTGCCCTGTGGAGGAACAACATGGTGAAGAAGCAGGGCACTGCCGGTAGCACCCCGCCTCTTTAGTTTAAAAAGAACAAAAAAGATCCAAAAAAGACCTCAGCGTCCCATTTTGTCTCAGACATCAGCAAATTCCTACTGTCAAAACTATACTGGCTGAACTACCAAAATACAGGTGGCCCAAGTGGCAGCTAGGTGGCCCAGGGGAGAGAGCACCGGCCCTGGATTCAGGAGGATCTAAGTTCAAATCTGGCCTCAGACACATAACACTTACTAGCTGTGTGACCCTGGGCAAGTCACTTAACCCCACTGCCTAGCCAAAACCAAAAACAAACAAAACCAGAAATACAGGTGGCCCCAGACACTTCCCCCTTGCCGTGAAATTCAAACTCAAGAGATTTCCAGCGGAGTCTTGTCATTCCTGGCAGCTCAGGAAGGTCACAGGTCAGCCTCAAACTGGGGCACATCAACTAAGCAACATCTGCTCCGCTAAACGGGTTGAAAGTGGGTCAGGGAACAGGTGCCGCAGAGTCATCACTGCCTAGCGGTCCCAGGACAGCACGCTGAGATTCCCCCCAAGTTGAACCCTACAGCCTTGCCAAGAAGAGGGCAGGAAGAAATGCATTCTCTTCTCAACAGAGAAATCTCCCTGAGGGGATTGACACAGAGCGCCGCCATGGTCCACATGCACCCAAGCAAAGATCCTGACGATGCTGTGAACCTGCCAGGCAGGCCTCTCAAAGGCCTGTATCTGTGGTCTCCCAGGCTTGGGATGGGAGTCCCACTAACGAGTCAGTTAAGCCACGCTGAGCTGTGGAGAGGGGATGCGGATAGCTCCAAGTTGGCTTAACTAATGACAGTTCCATCCTTTATTCTCACCAAGAGGAAGGTGTGGGGGGCCTTGGTGGCAGGAGGGAAAACAGTGGGAGCCTCAAGACAAAGTGACCACTGCATGGTCAGAGTCTGTGGCAGAGGAGAGGGGAGGTGATCGCACCCCCAACTTCAAAGGTTCAGAGGAAAGGCAGGTAGGGTGCAGTGCTCCCTGGGAAGTGAACTCCGGGAGCCTGGTGAGAAGCTCAAGAAGGAAATTCTGAAGACAAAAGGAAACATTTCCCAAGGAAAGGCAAAGGGGAAGTTGTGTGAAGTGACCCACGTGGATCCAAAAAAGAATGCGCGAGGCCCCTAAGCTCTGGTTAAAAGGACGTCAAAGAAGCACACGGACGGACTCCCGAGAACAGTGCCGGGTGCCCTGAAGCTGAGAAGCAGCCAAAGAGAGTGATGGGGGGCTGGCTGGTCTGTCTGTCCGTCCATCTAGCTGTATGGGGTGGGGACGAACACCAAAGAAGGGCAAAGACTGAAAGACAATGAGTGGAAAGGAGGACAGCAGGTCCCTTGAACCCTGGTTCCACTTCTCTTTTCTGCCAAGAAAAACGACCTCTGAACCCCCCAGGAGCACGGGATGAGCAGTGCAAGGGAAGCCACTGTCAGTGACCCCACAAAGACCGGAGAGTGGGGGCTGGGCCTGGGGCTGGAGAGGCAATGCGCAGCTGAGCCTCCCACTGGCCTAGGACCCCGGGGCGTCCCTGGGGAGGGAGGGCTCAGGCTTCTGGGCCTGTCTTCATCAATAACCTGATTAAAGGCCCGAGAGTGGGCTTGCACTCATCAGGGACTCTGATAAAACAAGGTTGGGAATGACAGCTGACGTGCAGGATGCCTGAGTCTAGATGGAGAGCGCTGTGAAGGCCCCTACATGGTTTTACAAAACCAATCTCACAGGGGTGAGACAGGGCAGTGGGACCGGACGGCACTTTGTCTGTTCGGCACCTGGTGGCTCTGCTGGGCTGCCAGCTTGGCCTGAGCCAACAGTGTGACGCGGCGCCCAAGGGGAGAAAGGCCTGCTGCTCTGGTCAAATGCTCCCTAGAGGCCGGTGTTCGGGCCTGGGAGCCATGGCTTAGGAAGGAAAGACACCGAAAGGCCGGCAAGTATCTGGAAGGGGGCCGTCAGGACGGGGAAGGGCTTCTAGCTGCTAGGCAGCAGTTGCAGAATCTACAGGGCTACCACCTGGAAGAAGGCTACGGCCAGATCTGCGCAGCCCCAAGTGGCAGAGTCAGTCCCCCTAACAAGAGAGCTGGGGACTCGTGGCTCTTCTCATGGCGTGTGCATGAATTCGCTTCCCCTACTCCCTGAGAAGTGGTCAACCCTGACCTGTTCCAGTGACAGAGGACAAGGGGCCAGTGGGGCCAAAGGCTGGCCCCCACCCCCTCACAGGTCTCTGTCCCTCTGTGCACATCTGTTCTCCCTCTCTTGGGGAATTTCCTAGGGAGCTGGGGAGCCTGGTCTCCCTTGCAAACAGGCACCACCTTCTGGCCTGGCAAAGTCCCTGCTGACCCAGGGCCTAGTCAGGCACGGACTGCTAAAATAGCCTTCACATTCCTCTTCCCCAGGCCTAGTGCACAGTTGACTCTCTGAACAATTTTTCCAGCTCAGCATGACCAGAACAACCTCCCAACACACTCCCTAGACCCCACCTCACTTTGCTTTGTGTCTCCTCTCATCAAATCTAACATCCTCTGCCTGGGGCTATGGGAGTGAGAGCTCCTCTCCCCTTAGGCTTGGCTCATCTCCATCCCTTCTGGGTCGCCTGCACCAGGCTCCCTGCCAGCTCTGTTCTCCCCTCCCCTAGGACCCCGGCTCTGACCTCTCCACCACGATGGCCAACACCCCCATCCTCATGTCAGTAGGGTCATCCCGCTTGTCTGGACCTTTGCAATTATGGCCTGGAATGGTCTTCCTGCAGCACCCCCTCCAGAATAGGAATCTGAGCTCAAGGCTAAGTAACTTGGGCTGAGCTGAACTCTCAGACCTGCTGGACACTTTATCAACGAGTAGGTGTTGGGTGACAGAAATTCCTGCCTCGAGACAACTGGGAGGACCCCACTCTTGATAAGAGTGCTCTCCCTGGGGCAGCTAGGTGGCGCAGTGGATTTAGGAGGACCTGAGTTCAAATCTGGCCTCAGACATCTGACACTTACTAGCTGTGTGACCCTGGGCAAATCATTTAACCCCACTGCCTAGCCAAGAAAAAAAAAAGAGTGCTCCCCCCTGACTAATCATGAGCCTGAGAAGACCCCTGAAGGCTCATTCCTTCACTCAACTAGCCAGCAGTTAGGATGTGGCCCTGGGAATGAGACACGGACATTCCCCAGTCACTTGCACACCTCCAGCCTGCTCACCTTGGCATTCAGCAGCAGGAACAGAGGGTGGTCTGGGGTGGTCTGGGCCCGCCACTGCAAGACATCCGCCAGGTACAAAAACTGATCAGGAGAGAAAACAAGGTCAGGCCTGCCTGGACGCCCCACGGACAAGAGGAGCCACCCCAGGCAGGGCCCACGGCTGCACTAGGCCACCTTTCTTGCCTGGTCGTTGTCCTCCAGCTGTGTGACGTCTCGCCCCGAGGCCTGTGCGATTCTCTTCCCAGCAACGAGGTTCCCAACAATCATGGAGGCAGGCCCAACTTCTGCAGTTTAAAGAGAAAGATGAGGACCCCAAGAGAACCTCCTTAGAATGAAGGAATACACCATGGGAGGAGAGGCCCCCAAAGAGTGTGAAGGCACCAGCCAGGAACGCTGGTCACTGTCAGTGAGTGACCTCGCCCCACATTGGCAGAGCAGGGAGGGATCTGTCTAGACAGACAGAGAAGGCGTCCAGGGCTCTGCTGCCTGGGCCACACTGCTCCCTGTGGATGGCAGGGACATGACGTGCCCCAGGAACAAGAGGGGCTCTGACAGAATCTGGGGCCCTAAAGAGGTATCATGTGGTGATGGTTGTTCAGCCCAAGGCAAGGGGAGAACAGGACACTGGTGCGCTCACGGCTGGACCGATGCTCAGGAGGTCTCTGGCCTCTACCCCCACCCCCTCAAAGATATCCAAAAGGACGAGAAGGACCCATAGGGGCAGAAGCACTGGCAGCAGCTCTTCCTGCTGGCAGAACCAAAGGGCGGGGCTGAAAGAATGACCGAAGGGATGGTTTCAGTGAAACCTGGGCAGCCTCACAGGAGCTGCCGAGAGGAGCTGGGCAGAACCAGGAGAGCCATTTATCCAATAACAGTTATGGAAAGACAGACTCTGGAAGACTTAAAACCTCGGATCAACTCGATGCCAACAAGACAGAGCCGATGACCTCGAGGACAGAACAAGACAGACATTTGGGGACCCGGCCAACGTGGGGATTTGTTCTGTTGGACTATGCGTATTTGTTAGATGGCTTTTGGTTTTCTTTCTTTTTCCTTTTTTCCTCCAAGGGCGGGTAAGAGGGAGAGAAAACATTTTTTAATTGAAAAAAATTTTAAAAATTATTTTAAAAGGAAGACCTTGGTTCGGGTGCCTAAAATCCTAGGGGAATCTGTGGGAAAATGGCCCAGCTGCTCTGGGACGCATCCTAACTCGGGTCCATCACGGCCAGATCCCTCACTAACCCCCCCGCCAGTCCCAGGCATCATGGCTTCTGCCAAGCCTCTTCCCATTGCTGAGAAACACTGGATGTGGCTAAGGACAGCGCAAGGACACTTAGCCTTTACAATCTGCTTGGCACGGTCAGTTCAGGTCACCACACTTGACCTCTAGAGCTTCTGGTGAGATTCTCAGAAAGACAGAGGGCAGCTCCCAGCAGGCAGAGTGGGAAGGGCCACAGAGGCACCCGGCAGAGCCACCCCTTTGCCCAGCCCTCCCTACCTCTAAGTGCCATTCACTGCATCCCAGTGCTCATCCTGGTGCCTCCAAACTCACCACAGCACCGGAGGCACACATGAGGTAAAATCAGGCTTTGCCACTCCCTGCTCCCGATGCCAGGCTTACTAAGCCCAAGGACCACCACCGGCAGCAAACCCCTCTGAGTACGGAGAGCATCCTGACGCATCCTGGGTCACTGACCTGGCTGCTTCTGGCGAGGCTTGGGAAGGTTAGTGACACACGTGTGAGGGCACATTAGGACATTGCAGGGGTGCAGAGTGCCCTCAAGAAAGCGCTGCTTGGTTTCGGAGATGTGGATTCCCCCAAGTGGAGCTTTGGGCAAAGTGTTGGCAGGGACCAGGGCGAGACAGTACACGCCGACCTGATGGATGCTGTCTATTGCCTTAAAGGAAAGAACACAGACCGAACATTCACAGACACATCCCTCAGAAAGAGAATGCCCTGTAAGCCGCTAGAAAGGAGCAGAAGGCCCAGGCACAGTGCCTCACTGCTGCCTCTCTACAGGTCAGGGCGGGGCTGTTGCTCAGCGACGTCGCTAGGGTCCACTGGGCACGACGCGGGCCAGCTTTGCCTTCCAACCCTGAGTCCCAGGCACCTTTCAAAGACAATCACTAAGAAAGGATGTGAACATCTGAGGTCCCTCCTCTGAGCAGGAACTCAGGGAATATTTGCTAACACACATATGCATATGCATGTGCACTGTCCTGACTTCTGTAAAGCATGAATGATGCTGCCTACATATGGATTAAAAGGAGTGGCTTTTTCTCCATCAATTCAACCAGGCATCCATATGCTGACAGCCTCACCCCATTCCTCTAAGCTCTGTTAAAAAACTGACCCCAATGGTAAAAAACTGGAAACTGAGAGGATGCCCATCAACTGGGGAATGGCTGAACAAGTCATGGTACATGAATGGAGTGGAATACTATCGTGCTCTAAGAAATGATGAGCAGGCTGACTTCAGAAAAGCCTGGAAAGACTTGTATGGACTGATGCTGAATGAAGGGAGCACAACCAAGAGAACACTGTACACAGTAACAGCCACGTTGTGCAATGACTAATATTGAGAAACTGAACTCTTCTCAGCAGTACAAGAATCTAAGACATCTCCAGAGGCCTCATGATGGGAAATGCTGTCCACATCCAAAGAAAGAACTATGGAGTTTGAATGCAGATCGAAGCACAGCATTTGCTACTTTTTTCTTCTGTTTCGTTTTGTTTCCTCTTTCTGGTGGTTCCTCCTATTGGTTCCAATTCTTCCTTACAACATCACTATTGTGAAAATATGTTTAATTGGAATGTATATGTAGAGCCTATATCAGATTGTGAGCCGTCTTGGGGAGGGAGGTGGGGAGAAAAATTTAAAACTCAAAAGCTTATGGAAGTGATTGTTGATAAATCAAAATAAATTGATTTAAAATTAAAAAAAAAAAATTCAACCCCAAATCTTGCTCCAACTCACGCCCTCCCAGAAAGGGAGTGAATTTCTCTTCCACCCCTTACATATATCACGGCTTCTCGATTTGCCAGCAGCCCTACAACCTTGTGCTGGAAAAGAGAATGGCATCTCTGCACCTTCTGGTCTGGGGTCTACAATGCCCTCGTGGCTCCTCATTCATCCCAGACCTAGAACTTCTGGATACCACCCTGTTTCATTAAAGTAAGGAGCTCATGGGTACAATGCTTGTCTCAAAAGCAACCGGCACCTGACCCAACAATGATGATGAGAAAATGACATTTTAAGTCTGGAAAAACTAGGCAATGACCTTCTGTGTCCAGTCACTTTGGCTTTACCCCGGCTGGGCTCCCTGCCAGGTGTGCCCTTCCTCCTCCCTCCAACGTCCTCTGAGGCTCGTCCTCCAGGAGGTCCTGGATCCCCTCACTGTTGGTGCTGCCCCCACCTATTCTATGCCTCCCTATTTCTCTTGTATCATGCTGCGAGTCCCCCCAGAGAACACAGCTCTTTCTATCCCTCTGGCTTCTCATGTGCATGTTGGATAGAGCCTCAAGAACTGGAGACTTCAGGTTGAGGCCCAGAGCGTCCCCTCGGGCCTGCTGCCAGCTCCCAGGCCCTGCGTGTTCTGGTGAAATGGTGGGAAGCGCCAACATGCCACCTGAAATCCACTTCACTCGTCTAATCCCTACATCTCACCAAGGAGGAAACTGAGTCCCAGCCAGGTTCAGGCCTGTGCCCAGGGCCGCGATGCTGGTATGTAGCGGAGCCAGGGCCCTGGAAGGTACCTCGGAGCCCGCCGAGGCCAACCTCCTCATCTTCAGGTGAGGAAGCTGAGGCCCAGAGCGGCTCAGTGACTTGCCCCCAAGTCCTCGGCCCGCTGAGGCAAAGGGGGCTTACCTGCAGGACCCGGCTCATCCACTGAAAACTGTCCTCCTCCGACGCATCTGGACGCTGCTCGGCCACCAGCACTATACGGTCATCGTGCAAGACGGTCACCGAGAACACGGCTATTCTGCAACAAAGGCAGAAGCAGGGTCGGGCCGGGGCACAGGAGCCCCGGCTCCTTCCCAGACAAGCCCGTGCCCCAGTGCAGAGCTGCCTTTCTCTTCTGAATAGGACCCACTCTTTTCTTGGTAGAACTGAGTCAAGGGAATCGTCCCTTCCCCTTGAAGTCGGACCCTCACCAGACCTGCCATGCTGGATTGGAGCCTTGCTGATCTTGGTCCCCACAGCCTGCCCGCTTTCCGGACCCTTCCCTCCCCGGCCCACTGTCTCTGTCTCTGAGGGCATGGCCCCGGTGGAGACCCTCCCACAGACTTCCTCGGCTCTTACACTCTCACTCCCCTATGTGAGATCGGGCTCCCTACCGTCTATCTGTCACACACAAAGCCCTCCCGCGTCAGCATTTCTGCCCAAATGCTGTGCTCCAGACAAATGGCCTTTCCTGCTGTTGCTCACACACAACACTCCACGTCGCCTGTCTCCAGGCCCTTGCACGGGCTGCTCCCTCTGCCAGAAGTGCCCTCCCTCCTCCCTGCTGCATCTCAGAATCCCCAGTTGCCTTCCCAGCTCAGCTCACATGCCCCCTCACCCAGGAGGCCTTTCGGACGTCCTTTCCCCCAGACCCCTGCCCTAGCTGCTCCTAGCTTCCTCCACACAATGATCTCACGTTTACTTTGTACGTACACATACATGGAACACGCTAGTGGAACGAAAGCACCCGGGGGCAGGGACTCTTGCATTTCTGTCTTTGTATAGCTAGTATAGTGCCTGGCACACGGCAGGTACTTAATTAATAAATGTGCACTGAAGCAGGTAGCTGGCTTGTTGGGTGGATACAGCACTAGGCCAGGAAGCAGGAGGTCCTGAGCTCAAATCCAGCCACAGACATCTATTGTGAGCCTGGGCAAGTCATTTTGCCAGTTTGCCTCAGTTTCCACAGCTGTAAAATGGGGATGACAACAGCACCAAGCTCGCAGGGCTGTCATGAGGATCAGATGAGCTGGTGTTTGCAGAATGCTCAGCACAGCGTCCGGCACGCAGTAGGTGCCACAGGAACGCTAGCTATCATCACAGCTTCTACTGATGAGAACGAGGGGGTCTTCACTGGCAAATGACAGATACACTCACACTGCTTCTGCTTTTACCTTCCCTGAGGGAGAGGCGCCCTGGGCTCTGGGTCTCCTCACCACCAGAGAGAGGCACCTTGCCTTAGGCAAAGGCCACACGTGACAAGCCAGAGGGAAAGCCACCCAGACGCCTGCCAAGAGCGGGCGCCCCCCGGATCTCAGACAGCATCCCGTGGCCGGCGCAGGCCACCAGCTCTGTGACGGGGGAGCAGGCCCCGGCCCGGGTCAGCACCTTCCTCTGTAGACGAACTTCATCGGTTCTACCGCCAAAGCGGTGGCCACCACGTCGTCCGCGCTGTGCCTGCGGAGGCCGACCGCCATCAGCCCGTCCAGCTTGCCCACGACAAACACCAGCTGGTCCTCAGCACAAAAGACACAAACAGGAATCACTGACAGGAAGGAGGGGTGACCTGCCGGGGCCAGGGGCTGGGTGGGCCATGGGCCACAGACCAAGGAGCACAGACCCAGGCCTCTGAAATGCTCCGATGTGACAACAGGCCAGCGAAAGGCCAGCACCTGGGGAGCAGCAGGAAGAAGGGGCAGAGCAGGTTGGCACCGGAGAGGGGGTGGCTGGGGCCAGGGGTCAGGTGCTCTTGGACAGAACAAAGCCTTCAGGGCGGGCACACGCAAAGCCGTGCATCTTTGCCAGCCAAGGGCAGCTGCAGCTAGTGGCTCACAACGGGCAGTGGTGGGGCAGGAAGGCGGCATGCGTGTGTGGATATGCACACACATGTGCACATATGCATGTATATAATAAAAAGAATGGAGCCTTGCTGCTAAAAGAGTGGTTCTGGATGTGTCTTCTATCCCTTGAGACACTTACTGGCCCAATAAAGCCCAGCAATCCTGTCCGCGTAAAAGGCTGGTCAGAAATGGGCACACCTCCTGCCGTGACCGGAACAGTCTGACGGAGAAGCAAGAAAAGGAATCAGGCTACGCTTCTCCCTGGCCAGGCCAGTCCTGCCCGTGCTAGAACACCGGATGTTGGCCCCGATTCAAAGACTGAGAGGGGAAGGGCTGGACTGCGCCGGACCTACGCCTCCCAGGCATCTCTCAAAGCTCACGCCAACTCAAAAAGAGCAGGCAGAGGACCCAGGAGGTCTCTGCTGTCTGTGGGTTTTCAGAAGACGTGTTGTTGAAGCAGGCCCAGCTGTGGATGCCCCGTGGCTAGAGCCAAGTCAGGAGCTGGAGGGCTCTGCCCCTCCTCACTAGGGGCACCTGAACTGGTCTCCTGGCACACTCTACCCACCCCCAAATACTAGCATGGCATTCCCACCTGCGAAAATACTCGGTGAAGTGAGTGATGGAAACTAAAAAGAAATAAATTAATTAGAAAAACAAATACAAATAAGTGAAAAAAAAATTCAGTGAGACGATTTTAAGGTTCAAGTGACCAAATGAGTGTCATGCAGGTGGCAGCTACTCGCTGTGTAATCACAGCGTGGGGTCCGAGTCTATAGAGTTTGGCTACAAAATAAAAAAAAGTGATTTCTGCCCCCACAACCTCCCCTTTGGAGTGGATGGAACACTCCAAACACCATTTCCATCAAATTTTCATTGACATAAGGAATAAAGCTCACACGAAAGAGACCATTTTCCTCAACAAACATTGGCTAAGTCAATCCTGAGGAATGATTTTTTAAAATCTCTCTGCACACACAGATCCCAGTTTCCTCCAAAACTAAACTTGGGATGCCAATCAGGTTTGGTTTGGAAAGAGAGGGAAGGGGAGCGTCAGGAAAGGGAGAAGGAAAGGCGGGAGGGAGAGAAGGAGGGAAGGGGAGAAGGAGGGAGAGATAGAGAGAGTGAGAGAGAGAGAGAGAGAGAGAGAGAGTGAGAGAGGGAGGGAGCTGAATTTTGCTAACCTACTTCTTTACAGCCAAATGGCAGGCTTCCCTGGACCCCAGACTCCCCCTGCCCCCAACAGAACGCTGACCATGTGGGCAGACAGAAGCTCTGAGGAAGGAGGAGGCCAGAGGCACGGAGGCCCACTCCTCTCTTACATTTCTGGGCTCCCACCAATGCGGAGTTATCAGCCCCTCGGCCAGGGACGGGGTATCCTATAGACATTCTGCTTTTCCCACTCTCACTTCCTTGGCCCATCTGCCAATCCTGCTCACTGCTGTTTGCCCAGTGGATTCCACCACAGCCGACAGGGCAGAAACAGTGCACATCCCCACGGGGCCCTGAGGGCCCATGACCTCTCCTCTCTCACACTGCTAGTCTTGGTGTAACGAGCTTTCACTGCGTCTGTCAGGGGCTAATGGAAACTTTCCCAAATTTGTGAACCGACACCACATGCCCACAAAGAGGGGGAAGGGCAGTCAAGGGAGGCTTCCTGGAGAAGGTGATACAGGAGCTGAGCATGGAAGGCTTTGAGCTCGGGGCATGGAGAGGAGCACAGACCACCCAGAAGGCAGAGTTTGCAAAGGGAAGGAATGGGAATGACGGCTCGGGCAGCACGGGCCTCTCAGCCCGGCTGGGGCTGCTCTTTAGGCCCCACAGAGGCTCTGAGCAGGCCCAGGCCTAGGGAAGATTCTGGCAGCAGTGCTGAGGATACAGAGTGAGAAGAGACCCAGGGAGAGGCTGCTGGCCAACCCCCCCTCCCCAGCCCCCCACTGGGTGAACAAGAGAGGCCCAGCAGGGCCTTCGGGCGCACCTCGAACACGTTCCTGGTGATTCCAACCAGGCCGTAGTAGGCAGCCCCAGTGGCTCCAGAGTGGACACACACTTCTCCCACTTCGTCCGTTCTGCAGAGGTAAGGGGTGCCTTCTACCTTCACCACACACACGCTGGCTGAAAGACAAAGAGGCCGAGTGACAAAAAGAGGCGTGCCGACTCTAGGACATGCTTGTTCCGGGGCACAGAGAGGGCACAGGAGATGACTCGGGACGCGCTGCCTTGGCCGTGGCGATCACACCTTTTCAATGTGTCAATCGATCGACACGGATTAAGCACCCACTGTGTGCCAGGGACACAAAAAGTGGCAAAAGACTGGCCCTGCCCTTGTGGAATCCACGGAGATGGAGAACTTAAATTTGTTTGTGCTATTTCTGAAAACCATTTTAGCTTTCATCTGTGAACATCACATAAAATACCCACCCCTCTAAAAGCCTCTCTCCTTTCTTCTCTCCTGCCCTCTTCTACGTTTAGAAGACCAGGATACCCTTCTAGATACATGCCGTTCCCTCTTTAACCCATTTCAGACGGAAGTGAGCACCTGCCCTCTGTGCCCCCACTTGCTTCCTTGATATCAATACTTCTTTTCATGCTTTATTTGTGAAATAATTACTCATTTGTCTCTCCTTACACAATTTTAATTTCTTTAGTGTCACTCCATCATATACAGCTCAGCCCAGGCCTTTCTTTCAAACTGCCCAAATAATGACAGTCTTAAGAGTCCCAACATCTTCACATAGAAGAAGTAAACAATCTGGCCTCACTGGGTCCCTTATGATTGGTCTTTAATGTTTGCCTTTGATTTCTCCTGGATCTCACATGTCGAGTTTTCCATTAAGTTCTGCTGTTTTTGTCACAAATATCTGGAAGTCTTTCGGTTGTTAATTATCCTGTTATTTGCATTCAGTATTACGCTCAACTTTGCTCCGTAAGCTACCCTTGGTCGTGACCCAGCTCTTCTGCTCTATGAAGACCTGCAGTCTTTCAATGTATTAGCGGCCAGGCCTTGTGTAATCCTTAGTGTAGCTCCATGATATTTAGGGGTTTTTTTCTTGTTGCTTGCAATATTTTCTCCTTAACCTGGGAACTTTGAAACTTGGCTATGTATCCCTGTAAGTTTTCCTCCTGGGATCTCTTTCAGGTGATTAGTGGATTTTTTCCTTCTTGTTAAAGAACTTCAGGGTAATTTTCCTTGACAATTTCTTGTAATATTATATCAAGCCTCTTTTTAAAAACTGTAATTTTCAGGTAGTCCAACTCTTCTTATATTATTTCTCCTCAATCTGTTCTCTCGATCAGTTGTTTCTCTGCTAAGATGTTTCACATTCTCTTCTATTTTTTCATTCTTTTGATTCTGTTTTATTATTTCTTGGTGTCTTACAATATCATTAGCTTCCCTTGCCCAATTCTAGTTTTCAAGGAATTATTTTCTTCTTGAAGTTTTTGAGCCTGTTTCTAGTTGGTTGACTTTCTTTTCAAGATTTTCTTGATTTTTTTAGATTGTTCTTTTTCTTCTCTCTCATTTTCTCTCAGTCTCTCTTATTTGATTTTTAAAGTTCTTCTAAGAACTCTTTATGGGCTTGGGACCATTTGACGTTTCTCACTGAAAAAGTAGTGGCTTTTTTAGCTCCACTATCTCCCTCTGAATATGAACCTACATCTTCTCTATAGTAGCTATCTAGGGCTGGGTTCTTTCTCCTTTGCTTACTCATTTTTATTTTTGTTTTATTTTGTTTTCAGTAGCTATTATTATAATCAAGTTGTAGTCCCAAGGAATGATGCTCCTGGCCTTAGGTCTGTTATGTTCTCACTGTTATATTCTAAGCTCTGTGCAGGGGCCCAAACTTGAACACTCCTCTCCACCCTTAAGCCATGGCTAGGGCCCCCAGCCATGCTGTCCTGCAAATGCTCTTGCTCCCTGTAGCCCCTCCAGTGGCTGCAACTACAGCTGTCCTCTCTGCCCTGGAACTGAAACAAGGGACTCTGCTCTCCTGAGAGTGCCCACAGCCAGCAGGGTCCCTTTCCCTCTGCTACACCGCTCACCCAGTGTGGGCCTGATCAGCACAGCTGTGCTTGGTCCTTCAATTTTCTTCCACTCAGCCACCCCACCCAGATGCTGTTCATGAGGTCAAAGTTCCTAAGGCTCAGCTGACCCCAGCGCCTGCTGCTGTTTGATTCCATGTCACTCAGGCCAAACCTCTGCCCTGAAGGTCAAGTCTTTCCTGGGGTCTTACCAAATGTCTTGGGGGGGGGGGGGCGCGACATCTACTTTACCTGGACTCTCTATTTATTTGTGCTGTTCGAGGTTCACTCTGAGTGATGTTCTGTCTTTTTTTGTGGAGGAAATCTGGAGCTCAAAGTTTTCTAACCTACTCTGCCATCTTCCCAGAATCCTCTCCCAGTACCCCAACTTTGTAGATGAGATGGCAAGACTCCCACGGTGTGCAAGTCAGCACCCCCACTTTGGGGAGGAGGCAACTTTCTGCTGCAGGACTTTGGGGATGGTACCTTGCAGGGACTGTTTCTCTCTGGGTTTGTTTTCTAGGTGAAATCACGGCTCCATCTGAAGACTGAGATCCTGACTAGATGGCTCAGAAGGGCCTTTTGATTCCTCGTGAGCACTTCCCCTCTAAAAGATGCCATCCAGGGGCACCAGGAGGCACTTGACCCCGCTGGCTGCCCAGGGGAGGGGTGGATGGCTCTGGACATCAGCTGTCCAACAGTCTGCCCAGCTCAGAGGGACATGAAGGCAAGACCAGGGTGGCAGAAACCACCACCACACCACCTGTGGCTGGAGGCCCCTCCTGGTTGAACAGGCAGAGGCTCATCAGTTGTGGGTTGGCCCAAAGGAATGAAGACAAGTAGAGAGGGGGACCCAGGCAGGCAGAATCGGGTTTTGGACTATCCAGCCACGTGACCCACAGCCCCATGACTAATCAGCTGACACACTGCTAGCAAAGCAGAAGCCCAGCCAATTTCACCTCTGGTCCATTTCACCTCTGCTGCACCTCTGGTCCATTTCACCTCTGCAGCATCCCTGGTCCATTTCACCTCTGCTGCACCTCTGGTCCATTTCACCTTTGCAGCATCCCTGGTCCATTTCACCTCTGCTGCACCTCTGGTCCATTTCACTTCTGCTGCATCTCTGGTCCATTTCAACTCTGCAGCAACGGCTGTCCTGGTGCTCTTGATGACGGCCTCTTTGCCAGTGCCCCCGAAGGCGGACATGCATGTGTGCATAGGTGAGGGCTGGGGGCGGGGGGGGGGGAATGACAACGATGATGACAACATCTGATTAAGAATTAAGAATAGTCTCCCATCTGAGGCCTGGACTGCCAGGCCACTCTCCCTTCTTCCTCCATCAGTGGTTTCAGCAGCAAAGATCTGTCTCTCTGGGAGCAACTTCTCCCAGGGGAAAACATTCACGCCAACAAGTTACGTGGAGCAGAACATACTATCTGTTAGGAGAAGAATTCTGTGAACAATTTCACTCGTTATTCAAAACAGCCTGTTTCTAGGAGCAGCTAGGTAGCGCAGTGGATAGAGCACTGGCCCTGGATTCAGGAGGATCTGAGTTCAAATCCAGCCTTAGCCACATAACACTTACTAGCTGTGTAACCCTGGGCAAGTCACTTGGCAACCCCATTGCCTAACAAAAAAAAAAAAAAAAGGTGCCTGTTTCAAAGAACTCAATCTCCTCTCTCAAGGACCATCTGATAAGCTGGGGTAGGGGACAGCCGCAGGACCACCCAACTTTTCTGCCTCAGGGTCCCAAGGATTCCCCTTCTCTGTGGCCACAGACAAGTCTGGTGAGCAAGAGTATTCCCCCACAGTGTGATCACCATGAAACTCTGGGAAGCATTGGGAGAAGAATCCCTGAGCCCAAGGCTGCCTGTGTGTAGAACGTGCCCACGGGGTTATGGCTCTGAACTGGCCAGGAGAAGGAGGGTGACTATCTGGAGGATACCACTATCTCCCCCAAGTCAGTGAGGTTTGGTGCCAGATTTTGTTTCAAAACCATGACAAGCTGGATTGAAATAGTTGTAAAAGCAGTTCCCAAGCCACCTTTTCCCCAAAAGAAAGGCAGCATGTCTCCGTAGCTACTTCCCACCAGCAATCCTTACTTGGCATGTCAAAGACCCTTCTCACCTCCAGGCATGACCTGGCCAACATCCTGAACAGTCAATACAGACAACTTTTCTTCCGTGTCTACTCGAATCACACCATAGCTGAGGCCGTTCATGGATAGCACAGTTTTGCCTGGGGGAGGGCCACCGGAATCGGGGGGTCTGAAAAACAAAGGCAAAGGCAGCCTGTGACTACCCAGGGCTCTCTTCCAGCTCCTGCCCCTACCCCAGGAAGAAGGCAACAGAAGGAATCACAGACAAGCAGGGCAGTCAGCAAAGTCTTATGCTAAATGAGGCACTAGATCCTTCAAAAGAAAAGCAGGCTTGAACTAAGACGTGTCTGCAGAAGGTTCCATTAAAATTCCCCCTCTGTGTTCCATTATGTAAATGAAAGTGCTCACTGAAACCCAAAACAAAGAAAACCAATTTTACCAATTAGAGGGGATGCTAGGCAAAGCCCCTCCCAGACCCAGTGCCCCAGGCTGGCCCAGCTGTGTGGCTCCTGGCATCCCTTCTAGCCGATGGCCCCACGAGCTTGTCTGTGTCTCATGCCTTCCCCACTCAAAGATGAGGACACAGAGACTCAGAAAGGTCTGGACATTTGCCCATGGCCACATGTCTTGTAAATGTTTGAAGCAGGCTGGAACCTGGGAGTTACCGTCTGAATCCAGCACACTCTCCATTACATCATGATCCCATTCAAAAGGTCAAATCCAGTAGGACATCAAAGCATCTGTGAGCACCAATGTCCCAAGCCCCAGCCGGGGTGTGCCATTAAAGGGATGGCCCAGGTGACCAGGAGTCAGACAATTCTGGCAAAAACTGATGAATGGGTCTTTTGTGGGGGAGGAATGAAGGCCCTGCTCTCTCCCTTCTGGCCTTGCAGGTCACAGTTCACTGGGTAACAAAAAAACCAATCAGAACTGCTTAATTAACCCCCCCCCCCCCCCCCACACACACAAGGCCAGACAGGTCTAGATGGCAGGCACTGCACCAGACACACTGTCAGTGGGGAAAGCCAGGTAAGAGGCCTGGCCACAGACTTCTTGCCATCCTAAGGAGAAGAGATGAAAATAGTCCCCACGCTTAACAGTGTGACACTGTCCCTCCCACAGCTGAGAGGAGGCAGAGGTATGAGTTGAGCACAGGGCTGGGACTGAGCCCTGGGGGCACCTGGGCAAGAGGCTAGCTGGATTTAATTTCAAGTGAGCCATCTGCCCTCTCAGGGGCCTTAAAAATACAGGGACCGAATAGAAGACCTGAGCCAGCTCACACAGTCTCTGAGCTACGAGCTAGAAACGCTCCCAAGTTTTAAACAACTGACTCCTGGTGGATGTTTCTGGACTTGGCTGGAGGAAGCAGTGATAGATGTGATCGGGACCAGGTAGTAGGTCCTGCATCAGGGACAGTGAAGGAGATAGGCCACCTGGTACCAGCCCAGGCAAGCGTATCACTGACTGAGGGCACCACGGAGACCTACCCACACGGGCAGATGCTTGGCAAGCTCTTTGATGGTCTCCAAAGGACCCCTCGCCTTTTGTCTTAAGGCCGTGAAATTCTCTGGGGTTACCAATAGGCTAAAGCCTTGTTTATTTTTATTTTTTTAAAAATCATTTTAAGAGCAAATAGCTCAAAATGCTAGTCAAAGAGATAAATGCATTCTGGAAGGCCCTTGGCCTGCCACAGTCCCTGCTGGTGTCAGCCATGTGGCAGAATGGGTTACATGGGGCTGGAGGAAGAGAAGACCAACAAAGAGGGTCAGCCTCTGGGAGCACAAATGTCACCGCCCCAAGCCGCCCCTCCTCTTTTCCTGCTCCTCTCCATCCCCTCAGGAATCTATCCCTCATGGGGCACTGGGGAGGGGGAGTGCCCATGGCCCCTTCCCACCCTGCGGAGGGAGTCTGAGTTTCCCTTGGGGGCTGGTCCTCCTTCCTTCTGTCCCCCTGAACACCCTGTCACTCTACAGCGTAGCGAGCTGATCAGACTCGGCCCAGAGCCAGGGGATATTAAGGCAGGCAAGGAGGCCTTTAGATGAGGTGGTGCAGCCCTTCCACAAAGTTACCTGCGGATGGCAACAGTGAGTGCCTCGGAGGAGCTGGCACAGGGGCAGATAACCTCGGGTCTCAACCCTCTGGACTGAAAGACATTGAGGAACGCATCACAGGACGATACCGACCCTGAGTGGGAAGAAAGAATAAGCCGTAAAGAGTGATTAAAAGAAGGTGGCCCAAGGACGTCATCAGCCCTGCAGAGGCAATGCAGGTGGTCACAAGAACATGCGGACATGGCGATCATCCCTCCTGAACATCCGACCCCTGGAGGTCAGGGACCCTGATTTCATACGCAGGTATGTCCATGGAGACAGGCACGTACAACCCTTCTGGCTGGAGTGGTGTCCATCTCACCAAGGCTGGCTGTTTATGAGGTGCTACACATACGTGGAAAAGGATGGACGGCCAGCCCCCTGGGCCATTTCTACACTATTTCCAAATCCCTCGAACACAAGGGGATTTCAACAATATTTTGTCATTTTTAGATAGCTTACCTAAAGCCAGGGGGGTGGGGGAAGGAGGGCTCTTCATTGGCTGCAGGACAAAAGAAGTGACTTGATTTTGCTTAAAAGCCACATAAATGGGCTTAACAGAGCCTCATGTTACTGATGCTGGCAATGCTAAAAGCTGAGTAACTGAGGGCCACACACATCTTAAAAATTTTATTTTTTCCCAATTACATGTAAAAACAATTTTTAACATTTATTTTTTAAAATTTCGAGTTCCAAATCCTCTCTCTCCCTCCCTCCTTCCCTTCCCCCCATCACTGAGACAGTAAGCAATTTGACAGAAGTATACACGTGCAATGAGTGATGCAAGTCATATTTCTGCATCAGTCATGTTGCAATAGAAAACAGACCAGGAAAATGAACAACAAAATAAAGTAAATAAGTCTGCTTCGATCTGCAGAGGTTCTCAGTTCTCTCTCTGGAGAGTTCTCTCTCTCACTCTTCATCATGAGTCCTCCTGAACTGTCTTAGGGCACAGCATTGCCGAGCAGAGTGGAGTCATTCACAGCTGACCACTGCTACAACGTTGCTGTTACTGAGTACAATGTTCTCCTGCTTCTGCTTACTTCACTCTGCATCAGTTCATGTAAATCTTTCCAGGTTTTTCTGAAACCCTCCTTCTCATCATTTCTTACAGCACAAGAGTACTGTCACAATCATATACCACAACTTGTTCAGCCATTCCCCAAATGATGAGCAACCCTTCAATTACCAGTTCTTGGCCATCACAAAAAAGAGTTGCTATAAATATTTTTGAACATATAGGTCCTTTCTCCTTTTCTTTGGGATACAGAGTACTAGTGGTACTGCTGGATCAAAGGGTATATACCGTTTTATAACCCTTTGGGCAAGGTTCCAAATTGCTCTCTAGAACGTTTGGATCAGTTCACAACTCTACCCACAATGTGTCTGTTTCTCCACGTTCCCTCAAACACTTACCATTTTCCTTTTTTGTCATGTTAGCCAATCTGATAGGTGTGGGGTGGAAGCTCAGAGTTGTTTTAATTTGCATTTCTCTCATCGATCATGATTTAAAGCATTTCTTCATATGACTGCAGGCAGCTTTGATTGCTTCATCTGAAAGCTGCCTGTTCATACCCTAGTGCCACATTTATCTTGCTGGCTGTCTCATCCTTCGTGAAACTCTCCCTGCTCTTGGCTGCCCTGACATGGGGTGGGCTTAGTTGTCCTCCTTCCTCTTGGGCCATTTTTCCTGACTCTTCTGGGATCCTCCTTAGAGAATCCAAGAGTGGGGAAGGGGCTTATGAAGCCCTGGTCTAGTTCAACCAATTCTCAACAGGAATCCTCTCTCCTTCATGTCTGTCAAGTAGTCATCGTTAGCCTCTGCCTAAAACAGCCCTTTCCACACTGGGAGTACTCAGTGTTAGAAACCTTTGCCTTTATTACAGCCAGGCCACATGTTCCTTCAACAATTCTACTACTGATTTCTCCTGATCCTGGGGCAAAGCAGAATCCATCAAAATGTGCCAGGTACCTTGCTAAGTGCTGGGGATACAAAAAGAGGCAAAAGATAGTCCCTGCCCCCAGTGAGCTCACATTCTATTGTGGGAGACAATATACAAAAACACATATATAAATCAAGCCATATACTGATAAATAGGAAATAATTAATAGAGGGAAGGCACTGGAATCAGGAGGGGATGGGGAAAGCTTCCTGTAGAGGGTGAGATTTTACTTGGGACTTACAGTAACCCAGGGAGGTCAGTCGTCAGGGCAGAGGAGGGATGGACAGAGAAAATGCCTGCAGCTAAGAAACGGAATGCCTCACTTACGCAATAGCCAGGAGGCCAGGGTTGCTGGATGGCAGTGAATGTGTCAGGGAGCACTAGGGAGGTGATAAAGGGCTTTGAAGGCCAAACGGAGCATTTTGTACTTGCCCCTGGAGGTAACAGTGAGCCACTGGAGTTTACTGAGGCAGGGGTGACACGGTTGGATCTGAGCTTCAGGGACATCACTTTGGTGGCTGAATGGAGGATGGAGAGGAGTGAGGAGAGGCGTCAGGCAGGCACACTATCACCAAACACAGGGTGATGAAGGTCTGCACCAGGGTGGTGGCAGTGTCGGAACAGAGAAGGGGACGTATCCAAGAGAAGACGGAGACAGGAGTGACAGGCCTTGGCAACAGCTTGGCTAGGGAACGTGGACAGTAATGGGGAAAGCAGGCGGCAGGGCGGGATCTGAGGGAAAGAGAGTGAATTTCTCATGAGACATGTTGAGTTTAAGATGTCTACTGGACATTCCATTCAAAATGTCTGAAAGGCCAATGGCGATGCAAGACTGGAGGTCAGCAGAGAGTTTGGGGCAGGAAAGGTCCATCTGAGAAGCATCAGCATAGAGATGGTCATCAGATCCATGGGAGCTGATGAGGTCATCTGCGATGTATTACAGAAGAAGAGAAGAGAGCCCGGAAGGACCTGTGGTTACAGGGTGTAATATGGAAGAAGATCCAGCAAAGGAGACAGAGAAGGAGTGGTTAGAGAGGGAGGAGGAGAACCAGAAAGAGAGTGGGCTGTCCCCAAAGCCCAGAGTGGCAAGAGTATCCACAGCATCCAGTGCTGCAGAGGGGTCAAGGGAAAGGAGGACTGAGAAAAGGCCACTGGATTTGGCCACTAAAAGATCACTGGTCACTGTGCAGAGAAGAGTTTTGGTGGAATGATGAGGTCAGAAGCCAGAATGTAAGAGATTAAGGAGAAAGTGAGAGGAGAGAAAGTGGAGGAACGTGTAGGTGGTTTTTTCCAAGTTTAGCCACATAGGGCGGAATATAGGAAGAGAGCTAGCAGGGACAGAGGGGTCAAATGAGCGCTTTTTTCAGGATAGGAGAGACATAGGCATGTTTGTAGGCAATAGAGAAGGAAAGACTGAAAATAAGTGCGTGAGTGGGGATGACAGAAAGAGGGGACGAGGTGCAATGGGGTCGCCTGAGAAGGTAGAGGGGTTGGTCTTGGTAAAGAATGAGGCCACCTCATCACATAAGACAGGGCTGAAAGAGAGAGAGGCAGAAGGAACCTAAGTGATAGATAAGGAAGTGGGGGAAAAGAGACATTGTAGCAAATGTGTAAAATATGAGGCAAAGATCTCAGTTGAGAGAGTCAGTGGGAAGGGGGAGCCATGGGAGGTTTGGGAGAATGGCGGTAGAGAGTGGGGCAAGGAGTTGATAAGGGAGGTACAGGATGACTGCCTGGAGGCAGTGAGGGCCCAGCTGAGGTTGGGGGCACGATCTTCTCTCTGTTCAGCAGCAGGTGTGGAGGACAGAAGGCGACAAATGGTGGGCATGATCCAAGGCTGAGGCTCGGCTGGTGTAACTGGTGATATGATCGGGGGTCAGAGGTTCAAGACAGGAGTGTAGAGTTGAACTGGTTCACCAAGGGGTCAAAATGGGGAGGAGGGAGAGTGGCCAGTGCAGGGGTCATAGGAGTATTTGAGGGTAACTACTATGTCTTTCCTAAGGCTTCTTTCTTCAGCCAATCTCAGACCCTTCCAGCACCCCTAACACCATCCCTTGGATGCTCTCTGGAGTCTCAATGGGGCCTGGGGTGCCCACGTCCTCTCTGCGGTAGGTGACCAAGTTTCACCTTGATCACTTCTGCTCCTGTCCACACTCTCAGAAACATTATTTAAGGCTGAGGGCCTTGATGGTGGGGGAGGCCCATAGCTGAGCTTTAGCCCCATCTGGGCATCGTCAAGCCCTGTCCTCCCCACCTAGAGTTCCACAATCACCCCCAAATCGACATTTCTAAAGCCAGACTCATCATTCCCTCCAAATGGCTCCCCCTTTGGCTTCCCCCCCGACTGCTCCCCCACCACTCCCCCAAACATCCAAGGAGTGAATGAGGCACACTAGCCCTTCCTCTCTCTGCCTGCTTCCCTTCCCCCTTTACAACCACCAATCTAGATTCAGGCTCTCAATGCTTCATGCCCAGACTAACCTAACTCCAGTGTCTCCCCTCTGGCCAGCAGTGATGAACATCTAAAACACCCCTTCAGACAAGTCACTCCTCATGCCTCTTCATGCCTCCTGAAAACCCCTCACTGGTGAGCTCTCAACAGGCTGGGCCCATCTTGCCTCTCTGCAGGTTCATCCACTCCCAATTCCCTGACTACCACCGGCCTTTTGTTGCCTCTGGTCATGCCAACAAATCCTCCCACCTGTCCAAGAAGGCTGGGACTGACCTGTCCTTCCTTTCGGACTCAGAGATGACCCATCCCAGCCTTCTCACCTGACCGATGAGGGCACACAGACTAAGAGGCTTAGCGATGTGCCCAAGGCTGCTACTGGGGGCAGAAACAAGAGCAGGTCCCAGACTTCCCAGCAGCAAGTCTAAAGTCACTCCCATGAAGTTGGGCTAAATCTTGGGTAAGTGAATATTCTGACTTCATTAGTCTGAGGTTGATTCCTTTAGAAATGTCAAGTTATTCATCCAATTTTCATTATTTAATCTCTACTTCATGCAAAGATCTAAACTAAGTGCTAATTTAAAGTAACTTAGGCACAGAGCTCCATTTAGGTGGTAAGGACGTAAGAGAAGACTACTGGACATTTCAAACTGGGGGCTGTGTAGACAGACATCTTACACTCAACACGTCCCAAACAGAATTCTTTCTTTCCCCCAAGCCCTCCCTCCCTCCTAGCTTCCTTATCACTACAGAGGGCATCCCATCCTCCTAGTCCCTCAGGCTCCCAACCTAGGAGTCACCCCGAATTGCCCACAACACCTCCCCCACCCCCAGATCCAATATGGCGCCAAGCCTGTTGATTTCACCTCTCTCTAATACAGTCCCTTCCCTCTGACACTGCCCCACCTGGTGCAGACCCTTAACACCTCACACCTGGACTACTGCAATGGTTGCTGGGGGGAGGGGTCTGCTCACGTCAAGGCTCTCCCCACTCCGCCACCAAAGTGATTTTCCTCAAGCGCAGGTCTGACCATGTCACTCACTCCATGACTCAATCAACTGTGGTGGCTCCCCACTGCCTCCAGGATCAAATATAAAATGCTCTGTTTGGGTTCAAAGTCCCTCCTTGCCCAGCCCTCTCCTCCTTTCCAGGCTTCCAGTGCCTCACTCCCCATCTCGTACTCTACGATGCAGTGACCCCGGCCTCCTGGCTGTTCTATGAACAAGATCCTCCCTCCCTGTGCTGGGCAACTCTTGGTGTGTGGAGGCCTGGAAGGCTCTTCCTCCTCCACTCTGACCACTGACCTCCCCAGCCTTAAGTCCCAGATAAAATCCTACCTTCTCAGGAAGCTGCCCCAGCTCCTCCTAACTGTAGACCCTTCCCTCAGTTTGTCCTGTGCAGAATACCCTGTTTGTACACAGCTGTTTGCACGCTGTCTCGCTCTGGAGAAGCATCTCGAGGGCCCCACACCTCTTTTGCCTTTCTCTGTATGCCCAGGTCTTAGCACACAGTGCCTGGCACACAACAGGCACTTAAGAAGTGTTTACTGGTGGGATGAGTCATTTCTTTGCACCAGACACAAAGAACATGTAGATTTAGTGTGAAATAGCTACCCAGTAACGAAAATCAAATTCACTCTCTTCATGGGACATGCTGAGGAAAACCGAGTAGCCAGAACCTTGCATACTAATTATCATAAAGCATGAATTACAAATAAAAGAGACTGCTGGGTTCCAGCCGCTAAACCCCTTCTACCATCGCAGGTGGCTACAGTCCCCCACACACCCTGGAGAGGACGCTTATGATTCCAAGAAAACCTGTATGGGAAGAAGCGGTGCGTGGGGGGTGGCAGTGCTGAGAGCGAGGTCTGAAAGCCACCTCCTCATGTCCCAGGCCTTTCCACTTACACGGATTGGCTCCGTCGGCCACAATCAGCATCCGCAGGGAGCTCAAGCTGACGTCCCTCTGATCTCGCTGGGCCAGGAGAGACCAGTGCATGTCTCGGGATTTCACTAACGCCACCCGGGCTGCCGTGGACAGGAGAGAGCATCAGCAAGCGTATGTAAACAGGAAGGACTGAGGGAGCACGTGCGCGCGCACACACACACACACACACACACACACACACACACACAGCACATGTGTGCACACTTCTTAGTACTATCAAGACCCAATCGACAAGTTAGGGGTCTTAGCATAAGTCAGACCAGAAGGGGGCAAAGCTGAGGCATTCGTCTGGGAATCCCCATCTCCAGCAGAACTCAAGAAAATGCTCTTAAGATGCACCAGGCAGAATCGGCCAGAACCAAAGTGCTCACAGATGGGAGGCTGGCAGGCCAGGGGCCATCTCATCAGCCGCCAGCCCCGCCGGCCACGGAGAGAGCAGGCCGGCAGCGGTTCTCAGTTCTGTGAGAAACATCCTCAGTCCCTCACTTTGGCCATTTTTAAGGGTGTCGTTTGAAAGGATGAACCCAGACAGGGAATAATTACCTTTATAGGAGCACACTTTCTGTATCCACGAAAGGGGGTTCACTTTCATGAGGGCATAAGGAATACTGACAACGTGCATTCGGTTCATGACACTCTGAAAAAACCCAAAGCATTTGTTTATTTAGGGCCTACGGCGATTACCACCCCAGAGCACGAGCTTCAGCACCACGCACAGGAAGTGACACGTCTATCTGGACACAATTCCAGGCACATCACTCAAAGCCCTCACTCCACAACCAAGACGCTGCATGCTGCCACAGCAGAGGGCTGACTTTTTGTTTTGCTATGAAGCTATCCATGAGCCTTATTCCAAAGTGCAGATCTACTGGCAACACTCACGGTCAGCACTCCATGCCACAGGCCAGCGTCCCGTTTGAAGTCCAGCACGTTGGTTAAAGTCTCCGCTGAAAGTGAACAGAGAGCGTTAAAAGCAGGTGGCTTCACACCCCGCCAAAGCCCCACACAGAACAGCATGGACATAGAGAACACACGCCTGTAACTCCAGATGCATGCCCAAACTCGGCTTCCAGATCTCTCGCTATCTGTGCTTAGTAAAACAGCCGGTATGCTCTGGGGCTCCCACTCCATGACGGCTGCCTTCTGCTGGAAGCACCAGTCAACATCCTCACCCTCAAATCTAGTACCTCTCAGTGGCCAGTACCTGAAGCATTCGGGACCAGTCTACATTAGGGGGAAGACACTTTGTGAACTGAAGCAAACGCAACCAGCAACCCTTGGTCACACTCTGCCTCTGTGCCACGCGCTACTCTGGGCCCTGGAGATCCAGAGGCAAAGAACCGTGACAGCCCTTGGCCTCCAGCCTCCTGGGAGCTGACATGAAGCCAGCAGACTCTGCTGGCTCTAACCAGGCAAACAGCCGTGACCCTGCCCACTGTCGCCTCCTCTAGCCCCCTTCCTCCTGTGAGGAAGAGGCTTTCTCCACTGCTCTGCCAACATCGAGCTAAACTCGGTACAGAACTCCTCTGCTCCAGCAGCGGTGACTGCCCCCAAAGGGGCGTGCTCCCCTCCCGATCGCCAGGGCCTGATTCTGGCTGTCCAAGCCGAGCACTTGAGCTGACAGGCTTACAGAGGTCCCTGCCTGCTGGGGCCCTCGGAACCTCGCCTCGGTCAGGCCGACTCGGGTCCCAGATCTTTCACGACGATGACGATGGCAGCGTGCATTGGCAGGCTGTGTGCTAAACGCTTCACAATTATTATCTCATCTGATCCTGACGACAACTTTGGGAGGCCGGGGCTATTATTATCCCCATATTACAGATGAGGAAACTGACGCAGGCAGCATTTAAGGGACTTGTCCAGGGTCACACAGCTGCTAAGTGTCTAATGCTACATTTGAACTTGGGTTTTGTTGACTCCAGGCCTAGGGCTCTATTCACAGTGATGCCAGCTAAACACAATAACAAAAATAACGCTAATTATTAAAAATAAGCATGATAATAGCTAGGCTCTATGTCATGCCTACCATGTCCCAGACACTGTGCTAAATGCTTTCTAATTATTATCTCATTTGATTCTGACAAATCTGGGAGGCAGGGGCTACTGTTATCACTATTTTACAGTTGAGGAAACTGAGACAGACAGAGGTTAAGTAACTAGTCCAGGATCACACAGCTGCTAAGTGTCTAAAGCAAGACTTGAACTCAGGTCTTGCTGACCCCATTCCCTGCGTGCTTCTGACTAGCCTACCGAGCTCGCCTCAGCAGCCCGGGAGTTCTGCTAGCTCAAAGACCAGGCCCTTGAAGATGTGACCTGGCGCTTCAGAGGCACAGAGCCTGGCATGGGGATCCAGAGGTGGCCTTCACCCTGCTAGCCTTCAACTACTCCTATTTAGATTTTAAGCTTCTCTCCATTCAGAGCCCAAGGTGATTTTCATCTTGGTATCTCTAAGGCCTTCCAGAGAGTGCTGTATACAGCAGGTGCTGAAGCAATGTTGGATGAATTTCACTCCACATTACTCCCAGAGTCTGTGCCTTGCGCCCTGAGGGCACCAGCCGCCTCCTGGGGCTCAGAGGCGCCACACTCAGCTCGCCACGCTGCCCCTGGGGGACGAGTCCACGCCTAAGCAGGCACGTGGCAAATGTCGTCTTCTCAGACGACATTCCCTGCAAGCTTCTCTGTCCCCACTTTTGGGCACTCTGGGGTTTTCGACTGCAGGCCAAGAAGCTCAAACCTGGGGGACGACTGTCAAATCCCCTGTTCTAAGAGCGGCCCCCTGCAGGAACTCCTCTCGGGTTCCAGGCCCTTCTCTAGGAGCATGTCACACACCCCACCATCCTCAAGGGTCACCCTGGACTCTGGAAACAGAAGCCATGGGGAAGGCCAGCACTGCCCAGACCTGTCAACAGGCACCACCAAGTTGCCTAAGCGATTCGGGGGCTGCTCTCAGGGCCGAGCAAAGCCACTGGGCTTGTGCCTTTCTTCCTGCAGGTACACGAGGAACTGCGGACCCAGGCCTGGAATGCTAGCTTCTGGCTTCCTCCAAGGCTCAGGCAAAATCCCACCTTCTCCAAGAAGCCTTTCCTGGTTGCCATCACTGCCTGGGCCTTTCCTCGGTGACTGCCTCCTACCGGCCCTGCCTGTATCTGGTTGGCAGACTGTCTCCCCCATCAGACCAGGAGCCCTTCGAGAGCAGGGGATGCCTTTCGCCTCTTTCTTTGTGTCCCCATGCCTGGGACACATAGGGGCTTCATAAATGTGTGCCGACTTGACCCTGTTTTGTTCAGTCACTTTAACCAAAGACTTGGATGAAGACACAGGTGGTCTGTTTTTAAATTTCATAACCGATACAGTTAGGAGGAGAGAATCAGGCACAGAAAATACAGTTGGTCCAATGGCCCAAGGCCATGAGAACAAGGAGGCACACTGGCAAATGTGACCTGTGGATTTAAGGCGATAAGCGCCCAAGGACGAGATGGGAGAGGCCCAGAGTGAGTGAGCAGGCAGACGCAGCGCTGCACAAAGACCCAAGGGACGCTCAGGCTTTCCTAAGAGTCGTGACTTACTTCAACAAGCAATTATTGGCATTGTACAAAGGGAGAAAAAAGACACAGGCCTGCCCTCCAGCAGTGTCCCAACATTGGGAGGCAGGGGCCTTGCTGGCCAGCTCCTGCTCCCTGAGAGGGATCTGGGTAGCTTGCTTACCATGTCATCTTTTAAGAAAAGCATTTACAAGTGGCAGATAGGTCATGCAGTGGACAGAGCACCAACCCTGGAGTCAGGAGGAGCTGAGTTCAAATCCGGCCTCAGACACATAACACTCACAAGCTGTGTGACCCTGAGCAAGTCACTTAACCCCAACTGCCTCACCAAAAAAAGCACTTCCAAGTTTGGTGCCCTGCCAGCAAGGGTGCCAAGGCTGGGAACAAGGTTAATGGAAGGGGGACTGTGGAGAAGAAAGCTCAGGGAGGGACATGATCTTTGCAGGTTTGCTGGATAGGGGAGGAACTCAGCTTATTTTGTTTGGGTCATCCAAGAGAAAGAGGTAGATCTAACGGGGAGGAATGTGGAGGAGGCCGACTCGGGATCCAAAGGAGGGCTCTCATCCCAGCCCTGAAGGGGCTAGCAGAGGCCCAGACTGTCAGGTAAGCCAATGGTTGTTAAGCAAATAACTTACCTTCTGAGTAACTACAGGCTTGGGTTAATGCATGACACTGGGCTAACATGGAGGCGTGAGATATGGTAATTCCCACCGTGCTGCCTTCTTTGCTCGTCTTATACTGGAAAAGAACATTTTGGGAAAACGTTATGTGGTGCTTTCACAGGTAAGTAACCACACAGCACGCAATACGACTTTATGGAAAAGACCAGACGACCAGGCCCGCCCTCCGGGCTTTGTGGAGGACGAGACAGCTCATTTCAGAGCAAAGATAACAAGCCAAGAACTTGGACAGGCGGCATTTCCATCATCAGTGTAAATATTCATGGACTAATGGGTCACTAACTCTCACGAAGGTGAGAGGTGACTGGAACACAGACTGGGCAACTGCTGCGCTGGCCTGGGTTGTCTAAGATAGCACGATGACAAAAATCACTGGACCTGGATACCAGGCCACCAGCTTTAGTAATATAATCACAGAAAAAGAAAAACTCAGTACGCCTCGATTTAATTCATTCTCCATGCTCCACAAGACAACAAGAAGCGTTCTTACCTCGATGTACGCGGTTTCAGCACTGGCATCTCGCACTGGGGGGTGCCAGTCCTTGGCCGGTTTTGCCAAATGCTTCCCATCTATGACAAACCAAACTAGGCGAGGCCAGCCTTCAAAAGAAAGCAAAAAGGGGGCAGTGGAAATCAAATGGGAAAAGCTGCTCTTTGATTAGCCCCCCAGGACACCCACACCCAGGGGGCTGAAGGGAAGGCCTTCACAGCTTCTTGGCTTCACCCAAAGTGGAGCCAAGCGACTACCCCAGAGTGGTGACCTCGTACCTTTGAATGTGGCCACCTCTCCCGTGGGCGCCTTGGGCAACCCCTTCTGACAAGCGTCTGTAGTCAGGGCCAGCGTCACCCCACAGCTGCCCAAGAGAAAGCCAATCTGTTGGCTACCAGCATCCTGAAAAATGCACAGCACTCTGGTAAGCTTTAGGATGAACAGATGAGTACAGTAACATGAACCAGACTGGGGGGGGGGTCCCATGTTGGTGGTGACCCTTCTCTTGCTAGAGGCCTCATCGGTATGGGGCTCTCAGACCGTGTCATGGCGTTCTCCCTGATAGGGGCTCAGGGAACCGCTCTCTACACTCCAGATAATGGGGGACAATCCAGGGTCCCCTAAAAATAGGAAGAAGGGCTGCGATGTAGAAACAAGGCGGAAAAAGGATCTAAAGGGACAGAGTGTGGCCCAGGCCTTCATCTAGACACTGCAGGGTGGGAAGATGTCCCCCAGAGGAGAGGAGAGCAGTGGGGACCAACGCAGCATTCACAGGCTGGGACGTGGGGCTGGAGCGAACAGAGTAAAGGCTTTCATTTTTAGTCTCCTTGTTGTGACCATGAACCTGACAGAAGCTTCCTAGAGGCAGCTGGACGTGCACACAGGGCTGGACCTGGGGTTGGGAATACAAGAAGCATTTATTAAGCGCCTCCTATGGTCCAGGCTGGCGTACCAATAAGAGAGATGTCCCAGGTCCTCGAACAGCTGGAAAGCTGATGGCCAGAGGACAGTCCAGAGCCCTGCCCTCCATAACAGGGGGCCTGGGGAGGCCTGAAGTGCTCTACCCTCAGAGAGGGTGTGGAGAGGGGTGGAGAACCCAAAGCATGGCAATGAGATTTCAAGCAGAGCATTTCTGAGTTCGAGTCCAGTCCCAAACACTTACTAGCTGTGTAACCCTGGCCAGTCACTTCACCCTGTTTGCCTCAGTTCCTCCTCTGTAAAATGAGCTGGAGAAGGAAATGGCAAACTACTCCAGCATCTTTGCAAAAAACCCCAACAAAACAAAACACCTCACAGAGTCAGACACATATGAAAAATGACTCAACAATATTAAATTCTATAGAGTCCAAACCAACTGGCTGAGGGAAGACCTGAGTTCAAATCCGGTCTTAGACATGGAGAGACTAGCTGCGTGATCTTGGTCGTTACTTTCCATTTGTCTGCCTCAGTTTCCTCCACTGTAAAATAAAGATCGTAACAGCACCCAGTGCGCAGGGCTATGGTGGGGAATCAAAATGAGCTCGTGTGCACAAAGCTCGCGCAGTGCCTGGCACACAGGACGTGCTTAATAAATGCTCGTGCCCTTCCTTCCCCATACAAAGAGCAGAACAGGAGGGCAGTATTCTTGCTAAGATGGTGCAGTCACGGGAGGCAGGCCACCCCACTCCCAACTACCAACTTCACCAAAACCCTGAAGTTCTTGTCAAACCAAATAATGGTCCAGAAATCCAATGAGAAACTCAAACGACATCAGCTAGGCTGGCCTGAACTGGGAGGCAACAGGAATGAGGCCAAAGACTAGCCCTACACATGGCCCAGAGGCTCTGAGAACAGAGGCAGTGAGACCTCGAAAGGCAAAGCGCTCCCCGAGGAAGTGCTGGCCCAGGGAGCAGCACAAAGCTATCACCACAGACAGTCCTTGGGGGGCCAGTGAGGGCCATGCTCAGGAGGGAGCAGAGGTGGGCACAGCCACAAAGAGGATCCCGGGGAGACCAAGCAGGGCCCCAACCAAAAGGATAGCAGGGAGTTCTTGGCACAAGGCCCCAATTCAGGAGTTAGCACATGACAGATGAGCACAGCAAAGAAAAGAGCACCCCAAAATCACTGCAAATTGAGAGCCCCCCCCAAGACAGAGAAAAAGGGACTCCCACAAAGACAGGCTGAACATAGAGAAGAAAAGAGCTAAACCCTTTACTCAAGAACAGAATCCCTGGAAATAAGAAGATACCAAGGTAAAACCAATGATTCCATGAGACAGCAAGAAACATTGGAACAAAAGCAAAAAAGATGGAAAAAATAAAAGAAAATATAAGATGTATCACTAAGAATTGGCCTGGAAAACAAGTCAGCAAGAGAACATTTAAGAACAACTGGACTCCCTGAAAACCATGATTTCTTCATTCCTTTCTTTCTTTTTTTAAAAGCCTGGACACCACATTTCAAGAAATCATAAAGGAAAACTTCCCGACTCAATTTGTCACCTCCTTAAAAGAGCCCCCAAAGGAGAAGTCCCAGGAAGGCTGTAGCCTGAATCCAGCTCTAAGGAGGCAGTCAGGATCACTCAAGACCCAGTGGCTTCTACTAAAAACCAGAGAAGATCCTGGAATCCAGTGTTCCAAAAGTCCCCACAGCCAGCCAGGCACGGGTCTGAAATGGCTGCAGATATGAAGCCTAACAGGAGACGTGCAGGTGCGTGAGGAGAGGGGAGAAACCGCCTGATGCCTCAGGCTGTCCCCAAAGGGCCCAGCCTCCACCTGGATTGGCACAGTTAGGGTGATGCTCCTGCTTCAACTTCACAGCTCCTAAAGGTATCCGGGCTGTTTCCCATTGGTGTCTAAAACGCCAGGTACATTTGAGCCCCTGGGGGTGGACATCTCTCTCCCTGTGCTGCCTGCTAGGCTGGCAGGCCAAAGAACTCTCCTGTACCACAAACACACCAACTGTGTCCCTTCAGAGCCTTATTGTCTTCAAAGGGTTACTGAAGGAGTTAAGTGAGGAAAAGAGCGCATGCTGTCCCGAGAAGGTCCTATGTGTCTCCTGCCCCTTGTGGGGAAACTCCTCATATAGCCATCTATACCAGCTGCCTCCACTGTCTCTCCTTCAGTCTCTTCTTAACCCCATACAGTCTGGCTTCTGGCCCTTTGTTCCTCTGCCCCCTGCAGAGTGACCGGTGATCTCTCAGTGGTCTTTCCTCGGTCCTCATTCTCCTGGAGCCCTCTGTAGCCCTGGACGCTGTGGGACTCTCTCCTCCTGGATCCTGTCGTCCCTCTAGGGTTTTGGGGACACTGCACTGTCTCTCTGGTTCCCCTGCTCTGCTGAGTCCTCCTCCGAGTCACACTCTCTAACCACGGGCGTCCCTCAGGTTCTGTCCTGGCCTCTTCTCCCTCTGTGCTGCCTCACTCGGGGATCTCTTCAGCTCCCATGGATTTAATGATCGTCTCTGTTGAGATGATTCTCAGATTGACCTTTCCTGCCCGAAACTCCCTGCTGAGCTCCCATTCTGCCTCTCCAGCTGTCTTTCAGACATCCCCAACTGGATGTCCAGCAGACGTCTTAAACTAAGCATGTCCCAAACAGAACTTGTTATCTTTCCCCCACCCCTTCCCCCATGTCTTCCCTATTACTGTAGAGGGAACCCCCACCCTCCCAGGCCCTCAGGCTCCCAACCTAGGAGTCATCCTCACTCTCTCACCCTGGCCCAGGTCTAACCCGCTGCTATAGCTGCTGGGGGCTCTGCCAGCCTCATGTCTCTCCCCACTGTACCCCAGACCCCATTCAGCCACCAAAGTGATTTTCCTGGAGTGCAGGCCCAAGCCTCCCTCCATATACTCCAGGATCAAAGAGCACGTCTTCTGCTCAGCCTTCGAAGCCCTTCATGCCTTTTCTAGTCTTTTTATACTTTACACCCTCCCTCTCCCTGCAGTCTTCCACCTGGGGCCACTGGCCTGCTGGCTATTCCTCATGCCGTATGTAGCATTTCCTCTAGCATCTCCCAGGACTGGAACGCTGATTTTCCTCCCTAAAATCCAACCCCTTTACTTTTAGTGCCTCCCCTCTGCCAGTTATCTCTTACTTAGAGCTGGACAAATACAAGTTTGTACGCTGTCTTCCCCGTTCAATTGTGAGCCCCTTGAGGGCAGGGAACCGTCTTCTTCCTCTTTGTGTGTCCCCAGCACAGCCCAGCACAGCGCCTGGCACGCAGCAGTTACTCAGTCAATGTGTACGGAATGACTGATTTCCCTGTCTGTGCTGGCTTTGGCCTCTAGGCCTCGCTGTGGGATTGCTGGCTCAAAGGGCACATGTAGCTCTTGTCCCTTTTTAGACACGGCCGGATAAGGTGAGATTTAACAGGAACAAAAGCAAAGCTAGCAGGGCCTGGCCAGGGGACCTTTTGTTTGGTGGGCTACAAGCTCAGTGACCTTGGGAGAGGGGGCTTTGAGAGAGGGCCGGCTGCAGCACTTGCTCAGATGATGTCTGCGGGCAGCCCCAGCTCCGAAGGATGCCAGCGATAAATGGGACAGCCTCCCATGGCCACGCCATGTGAGCTTGGCTGAAGAAGCTAGGGCAAACAGAAGAGGCGTGGGCTCACTCCTGCTCTACAGATGGAAGATCCTGGACCAAAGCCATGACCCACCGCCCCCCCAGGGCTCCGAGCAGCAGCAGACTCTGCCTGAAGACATCACACCTCCCCAGCACACCACTGGGTACCCAGGAAAAGGCACAGAAACACCAAGAGCCAGGGCAGGCCAGGTGATCAAGGGATGCCCCTAACACAAAACCTCAGCCTCTAAGGCACAGGGCCAGGCACAACGTTCATGCTCGGTAAAGGGATGCTTTCTGAATAGAACTATAAAGGACTCACAACCACACAGACATGGTAGTTGGGAGTCTTCAGGGAACAGAGCATCACTGCAGGGTGAGGAAAAGGGCCCATGGCAGGTAGCAAGGGGGGACAGGGAAGGAACTCTGAAGAAGAAAAAGGAAGCAGGTGTAGGGAAAGGTGGGCTGATCACACGAGGAGAGCCCCCTCTTTGGGGTCTAATGGCAGCTGCTTTGGCCACCATGTCTGCTGCACACAGAGAGCTCTGATAGCTCTGTGGACGCTCTCACCATGATGGATGGTGTGCCCTCCAGGGGTACAGATTGCAGCCTCACCATCCCTGCGGGCCCCCAGGGGCTCTTGTCGGGGCACTCCCCAAAGCCTGCCCATAGGCCCCAAGGAGTGAGCTATCCTCATGTGACCAGCCCACCTTCCCTGCTGACATTCTTTACTGCTGTTCTCCAGAGTTCCTTCCCTGTCCTCTCTCACTATCTACCACGGGCCCCACGGAGAAAAGGGAAGAGTGGCCAGGTGAGAGGAAGGGAAGAGCAGGCCTAAACCTCAGGCTCTTCTGGCCAGGCACACACAGTCCCACCCTCTGGAAGAAGAGTAAACTAGGCTAACACTCTTGTCACTAAAAGGAGGGGAGACCACGTCAAGGGCACACCGTCTCAGGGGCAGGAAGATGCCCATCATGGTTTGAACTTCTCCCTGCCTGTGCCTGGAGGACACGCCCTCCAGCAGGCACTGACCCATTCCAAAAGCGCCTTACCTTTCTTGTTAACGGCACTTCTATTGGCACAGGAATAAGTTCTGCCAGGAGGCACCCATAGAACGCCACCATGAACATCACAGGATCACTATTTGGGAAAACGAGGGCCACCTAGAATTAAGAAAAAGGGAGGCAGAGGAAAAGATGAAAATTGCTTTTGTTTTTCAAAGTAAAAGCTTCGAGTGAAAAGTCTGGATCAAAGCCAACTGAATTCCCTGCCTAGAGAATGTCCCCAACTTCCTCCCTTGAGAGGCGGTGTTCTGTTCATCCCTGAGATCATCTCTGACCAATGAACCGCCGTTGGGGGTCACCTTTCGATCACAAGCTACGAGGTGGGGCCAACGAGTAAACGCCCAGGCCTGGAGAGATAGGTCCATGGCTCTAAGAGACTGAGGGGAATCTAAGGGGAAGATCCCGGGGACCACATACAGCATGGATTTATTTAGATAAATGGTGCTAAACAGAGGGAGAAAAGTGCATCCGTAACGTCTGGGACAGTGAGGGAGAAAACAAGCTCAGCCTGGCCTCGGCATCTGTCCAAACTGCATGGCCCTGCGGGGCAGGAAAGGAGGCTCAAATAAGGCACGGAGGACAGGCCAGGGGACGTGGCTGCGGCTCTTCTATCGCCTCTTTTACAGAAGCACCCACGGCCAGTATGTCTCCCTGAGCACCAATCACCACGGCAGGACCGTTTTTCATAAGTGGCCTTGTCTTTGGGAACCTGATGCCCCATCAGAAGCAGACTCACTAGTTGGCAGCTGGCAGCTGTGGGGACGTAGTTAGAGCTCTGCCACAGGCCAGCCTCTGGACCCCAAGCAGACAGTGCTCATTGACAGGGATAACAGGGACACTTGGCTCTCCCTCTGCCCCAGGCCAGGAAGCAGTCCAAGCTGTGTAGGCCGCTGTTATCACTACCGGTAAAAAGGACACGCTCAGTGTCTGATGGGCCTTATGCAGAGCTTGCTGGACAGAGAGCCCGACAACCTTGTACTGATTGGAACTGAGTCTCCCCCTTGTGTCTAATACTCAAGAGCTGTGAAGACTCAGATGGGGAACCCTGGTGTCCTTCACTCATGAAGACTGGGTCAGCACCAGCTGGCCAAGCATCCGCCTGGAAGGAAGCATGGCCCGTCAGCCCTTGGACATGGACCACACGGACCGACCACTTCTACAACCACTCCAGTGTGGACAGAGGCAAGAGAGAAAAGCAGCCTGGGGGGAAGGGGCAGAAGGCGGCTGCCGTCGCCTGCTCCCTAGATGCCTTCACGGGCCAAAGTCCCGACCTTTCGACTCTCTCCCCTGACAGCGACGTCCCCCCCCAACGGGTCAGCGACGTGTCCTGAGCCAGAGGAGCCCCTCCCATCCCGGTGACTCACCCGGTCTCCAGGTTTAAGCAGGGGCTCACTCTTACTGGCGAGCTTGTTAAGGAGGGTGTATGCCAGCTTTTCACTTCGACTCCAGAGTTTGCCTAAAGTCACAATGAAAACACAAAGCCCATGTGACAAAAGTCAAGACATCAGAAGCCAATATGCTAAGGCCAAACGTTAAGGGAACCAGTGACCGGCAAGAACAGAGGGGTGATAAATCTGGGAACCCTCCCCTCAAACCGGCCACATTTCAAGGGGGAGGGGCCTCCCTGGCCATTCTGGAACTCCTTTCACGGCGAACCAGAGCAGCACAGGCGGAGTCCCAGAGCAGCACAGGCACCTCTTCCTGGCCACTCAGCCACTCGCAGGGAGGGGAACCCAGGAGGAGTCGGAGCTCCAGGCCTTTCCACTGGGGGAAGGGCATGAGACCACACTCGCAGATGCTCCATAACTTCAGAAACGGACAGGATCTCATCAGTGGGAATGACACCGCACCCCAAGGACGATGGGATTTTCCCGTCTGACTCACAGCCGAAATCTTCTAAGGGTGTCATCTCCCCCATTAGAATGAGAGCTCCTGGATCCTGCCCATCTGATAAATGTCAGAGAATGGGGCAGCTGGGTGGCTCAGTGGATACAGAGTGCTGGGCCTGGGTGCAGGAAGACCCTTAGACACTTTCTAGCTGTGTGAGCCTGGAAGCCACTTGACTCTGCCTCAGTTTCCTCACCTGTAAAATGGGCTGGAGAAGGACATGGCAAACCACTCCAGTATCTTTGCCAAGAAGACCCCAAGTGGGGTCATGGAGAGTGGGGCGTGACTGACGAATGACTCAACAACAACACAGAACGTGAAGAGGAAGTTTCCAGAGGAAAAAAACCTAACCCATCAACAGCCACATGAAAAATGCTCTAACTCAGGAACAACTCGGGAAATGCAAATTCCAACGACGAGCTGGCACCGCCTCACAGCTGTCTTGCTGGCTGAGGTGGTAAAAATGAAAGTGACAGACGCTGGTGGGGATGGGCTGCGAACGTGACTGCTGACACCCCTAGGAGAGCTCCACCCCAGAGGGATCGTCCAACACTACAGGGCGCGGCTCCTTGCAGGGGCAAAGAACGAGAAGCCGAGGGGCGCCCATCCGCTGGGGAACGGCCACGAATGGGAGGAAATGCTCTTCTCCCATAAGCGATGATGAAGGGGAAGCTTCAGGAACCCATGGGAAGACTTGGACGAAGCACGGCGGGGGAAGGGAGCAGAGCCAGGAGAGCCACCTCTGCTACAACAGCACTGCACCTACTCACGAGCCTGGATCGACACAATGGGCCAGCACTGCCCACCTGCACGCGGAGGCAGATGGACTCAGAGGGCATGTGGAGGCAGACGGGGGGAGGAAATTTGAGGGAATTGGTTTTGCTTGACTTGTCTGTGTTTGTAACAGGTTTAGTTTCTTTTGCTTTCTCAGTGTGGGGGAGGATTAGAGGGTGAGAACGTGGAGCTAAAAATAAAACTGAATCAAAAAATGAAAATTAATGACTGAACACAAAGAATGTGAGCTCTTTGGGCGCAGCGACTCCAGCCCACAGCATCAGGCATGCACAGAGTAAGCCCTGAAGAATGCTTCCTTCCTTCCTTCATTCATTCCTTCACGAGCCTTAGTGTGACCTCTTTAACCCAGAAAATGAGTGTTGTTCGGCTGTTTCAGCCATGTCCGACTCACTGTGACCCCATTTGGGGTTTTCTTGGCAAGGACACTGGAGTGGTTTTCCATTTCCTTCTCCAGCTCATTTGACAGATAAGGAAACTGAGGCAAGCAGGGTCAATTGGCTTGTCCAGCATCACACAGCTTAGTAAGTGTCTGAGGTGACATCTGAACTCAGATCGTCCTAAATCCAGGCCTGGTGCTCTATACACTGCACCACCTAGCTGCCCTGAAACAACTCTTCCAGATGCTAATGAGAGGCTTCACTGCTTTGGAATTAACGGGCATTTGGGGGGAGGGGGGCGGGGGGGGCACAGTGTTGCATGTGATCATACACAGAATTCCAGGCCTAGAGTCAGAAAGAGCCGAGCACCAGTCTGGCCTCAGACACTTCCTAGCTGTGTGACCCTGGCCAAGTCACTTCACCACTGTCTGCCTCAATTTCCTCCCCCTATAAAACGGGGATCCTAACAGCCCCTGCCCCCAGGGTTGTTGTGAGGTTCCAATGAGATTGTAAAGTGCTTAGCACAGTGCCTGGCACACCGTAGGTGCTCCATAAATGCTGGTTTGCAAACATCAGGTCCACCCCCTTCGCCGGCCTGGCTGGGAGGGAGGGGCCCCGTCTCGTTGTTCTCCCTCCCTTCTCTCCTGGGAAGCCCTGGGCTCATTCTCCCCAGGATGGCCGTTGGTCCACCCTCTGATTTCTCAGTCTCCCTTTGGTTATCTGAAGGCACCCTGATTCTGCTTCGCTCGGTGGAAGGCGGGCAGGAGACATAGTACCTGGCACCTGGGAGGTGAGGGAGGGGCCCAGCAGGAGCTATGCTGGGCAGACAGAGATCTGGCTTTTCACACAAAAGGAGAAACTGCTAAGAGGCAGACTTTCCCTTCTGCTAAGCAGCACCTTGGCCTGGGGCCTGGGGACGCATGGGGGAGAGGGAGGGGCGACAAATGGAGGCAGCTGTGACCCTAGTTCATGACCATGGCAACCCAGAAGGGGATACTCACCCCTCCCCTCTCCCTCTGCTCCTCTCTGATCCTCCTCAGTCCACAAGAACCACTTGGCTTCATTCCTTTAAAATGCATGAACCCCTCAATCCCCCCACAAATCTTCCCTGAGCTGCCAGTGACCAGGCAGGGTCTGACACAAGACCGTCAGGGGACAACCATGGGAATCTGCCTTTGAAAAAGCCCCTCTTGGCTCAGTACTCACCATAGGTGAGGGTGTAGATGGCTTTCCCAGTTGTATCCAAGGCTGTGAGACAAGGGGCCTTGGGCTGTGTCGTGCCCCAATGCTGCAGGGCAGCCAGGAGGGACGGAGGCCAGTTGGAAACCACACCTAAAGGCTCCCCTTGGAGCACGGTCATCTGACTTCCCTCGGGCTTGGGTTGATTGGGGTCCGGCTGGTGGACTGCAAAGACAAGGCCCCCCTTCAGCAAAGGCCTAGGGCAGCACCTCTTACTCAAGGGCTCACGTTCTCACGTCTCCCCTCCTACCATTGATCATCTGAAAATTCCTCCAAGTTGCCACAATCCTTCAAATTAATGCGAGGACTACAAGAAATCAGGATATTACTAACTCAAAAATTTAAAAGAAATGAAAATAAGATCAAGAACAGAGGGGTGATAAATCCGGGAACCCTCCCCTCAAACTGGCCACATTTCAGTGGGGGAGGGGCCTCCCAGGCCATTCTGGAACTCCTTTCACGATGAACCACAGCAGCACAGGTGGCGTACCTAGTGACCTGATCACCAAAGCTTGGGGGGATAACCTCCAGGGGGCATCCAAGGCAACCCCAGCAAGAGCTCAGCCTGACCATCTCTCAGCCCCTGCTCAAGAACAGGCTCCATTTCTTCTTCCCCCACTTTGAGTCCCTCTTCCTGGACAGCCTGTAGGAAAGGATGAGCGGCTGCCAAGGATCCTGAACGCAGTGCCAATGCCCGCCCATCGCCCAAGAGCCATGGGGGAGGGGGCCTCCACTGGGAAGGGACTGATTGTGCAATTGTCCATATTCTTAGGTTTTTTTGTTTGTTTGTTTGTTTTAGGTAGTTGGGGTTAAGTGACTTGCCCAGGGTCACACGGCTAGTGTCAAGTGTTTGGTCTGAGTCTGGATTTGAACTCAGGTCCTCCTGACTCCAGGGCCGGTGCTCTATTCACTGCGCCACCTAGCTGCCCCAATTGTCCACATTTTTAAAAATCCCCTTGGAAATGCTGGCTTGGAGAAAGACCTGGTATTTCCCCTGACGGGGGCCTACTGCAATTGTGATGGATGCAGCAAGGAAGAGGGGACAGACAGCCAGCCTTGGCAGCCAGAAAGACCTGGCGTGGAGTCTGGCCCTAGACTCTGGGAGGATTCCTGAGCTTTGAGGTACCCTCCCTGGCCCTGCGTGACAGAGAAGGTGCCAATTCGCCTTGGTACAAGGCTCTCCCCATACCGTGAAAGCACATGGTGGTTCCGGCCCTCCTCCCATTCCAGGATAGCCCACCAAGGACTCACTGATATAAGCAAGAGCCAGGAGGTAAAGGTAAGAAAGAGGGGCCTCCCGCTGTTGTGGGGAGGGCAGGAATCCTCCTTGGCCCATCAGGATGCCCTTTTCACACAAAAGGAGAAGCTGCTGAGAGGCAGACCTTCCCTTCCACTAAGCATTACCTTGGCCTGGGGCCTGGGGATGCATGAGGGGGGGAAGGGTGATGGATGGGGGCAGCCGTGACCCTAGTTCATGACCATGGCAACCCAGAAGGGGATACTCCCCCCTCCCCTCCCCATCCCATACATACACACACACCCCACTAAGTACATTAAAACAGATACACACCCTCAAGGCCAGGTCTGAGCAGGAGCCTGGCTTTCTTGAGCTTAGAGACACCGGGATGGGCTGGAGGACAGAACCCCTGTCAGTGCCCCAGGAACAAACCCTGAATCATCTTGTCCTTGGGTATCTGAGGGACAGGGAAGGAGCACAGCGCCCCATGCTCACGAGCACTTTCCTGGGGTCTCGAATGAGATTGTTGTAAAGTGCTTAGGGCAGTGCCTACCACATGCGAGGAGCTTAATACATGCTTGTTCCACAGTTAACACTGGTCTAAGGCCGTTAAGTAATGAGTGACTCAGAGTTGTGTCCAAAGAGGGACGGGCTATAAGCAGGGCCTGGAAAGTGCATTAAATCGGTGCGTAGTCAGCAGAGCTTAGACAGGATTAGATCAAGAGCAAATAAGTCAAAGAAAAAGATTGAGAAAATGTACTGAAAAAAGTTGGGAGCCACTGACTGGTAAGTGAAGGCCCACCCTCCCAGAGCCCCTGGCTCTAAGGCTTAGCTCCATAGGAAGAACCCAAGACTGGGAGTCGGCCCCCCTGGGGCAAGCCCCAGGTCCTCTGGGCTCCCTTCCAGTGTCATGAAGAAGCCAGCACCCCCCCATCAAGGTCACTGGCCAGCACAGCCTGGCAAAAATCCCAGGTCTGTGGAACAGAGTTCCGGGAGGCTGGTGGGGGACTGGCAGGGCCGGCCTTGACCTTGGGGAAGCCTCTAAGGTGGAGGCAGGCCCACCTCAGGGGGCAGTGGTGACGCTGCCCTGAGACCACAGTTAGGGGCTCGGCCAGCTTTATGGCCATGTCCCATGGTCAACTATTCAGAGTAAGAGCAAGATCCCCCCCCAAAACGGGAAGAGCAGGCCAGCCTGGAGAGCTCTGTGCTGAATTGATCAGGTACCTGAAAAGAAAGCTGCAGGGGATGAGGGCTGGGATTTCACAGATGACCCTGCAGTCTGCTCTGTTTACCTGGAAAAGCTCCTGTACTTTGGGGTTTTAAGTCCAGGATAAAAAAAAAAGTTTTTATTTTATTTCTTTTATTTATTTATTGATTCATTCATTCATTTATTTATTTGTGAGGCAATTAGGGTTAAGTGACTTCCCTAGAGTCACACAGCTAGGAAGTATTATGTGTATGAGGCCGGATTTGAACTCAGGTCCTCCTGACACCAGGGCCGGTGCTCTATCCACTGCATCACCTAGCTGTCCCCCAAAAAATGTTTTAAAATAAACATAACAGAAAAACCAAAGTTGAAATCTCCAGATCTTTTTCATCTGAAGCCTGTCTAGCTTTTTCTTATGCCTACAGCATTTTCTTAGATCTGGCTCCAGGTTCTCACCTGCCCCCATCTTTTAGGGCTGGGACTTCATCGGCCCTTCTGGCCAGGCGTGGAGGCCTTGCCCAGGTCACCCACCACATCACACACTCACTCACACTTGCCAGATGCAGACACAGCCACACCTGCGCCGCCCTGACCACGCCCAGCCCCCGGGGTCCAAGGCCTTACTACCTTCCAACAGTTCTTCAAAATCATCCACGAAGAATTCCTTCAGAGGAGGGCGCTTTGGTCTCTTTAAGGTATTCAGAAGCTGCTGAATTTTTGAAGACACTCTGCTATTCACTGGAACACCTATCAAAATTAAGAAGGAGAGAGAAAGGATGTTGTGAGAGGTGTGGTGGGCCCTCCAGGGAAAGGCCAGGGGCTCACAAAATGAAGCCCTTTGCTTGGGGACCTCCCCCAAACCCAGTCAGCAGGCCTCCACAGATTGCTCAGCATCTTCTCCTGCCAGAGAAAGGCAGGATGGCCCCACTGATGAGGATGCTGTTCAAAGGCTTTCTGGAAGAAAGCTCAGATACTTTCCCATGTTCTGATGACTGCCCTCAATGGTGGTCACACCCACCCTGGGACAGCAGATGGGGTTTCTGAAGAGAGCCAAAAGCTCTTTGGAGCCCTCGAGAGCGAGCCGGTAGCTGGGCTTGGCAATTAAGTTTTTGGCCCCAAAAAGTACCATAATTGCAAAATAAGGAGATAGTTTTCCCGTAATAGCTCATAATCACCCTTTAAAGATTTATTCCACTGTAGCCACGCTTAACCAACAGACTCCCAAGTGCCCACGAAAGTGTGACTCCCAATATGACTGAATGACCTCGCTCAGATTAGTGACAAGAAGGCCTTCAAGGCCCAGGATCACTCAGCCTCTTGCCAGCTGCATAAATCAGTAGTTCACAGGTAAATCCCACCGTTCTCTGGGTGGAACAATGAGAAGGAAGCAAAGCCCTGTCTGGAGGGAGACAAAAGCTACCTCTGTCACCATGAGATGGCAAGAGGACATCTGTAGGCTGAGGCAAGCACTCGGTACCTGGGGTTTCTGTGTGTCTGTTCAGAGGACATGGACTGGGATCACAGAAGCCATCACAAAATCCAAACCCTCCCACCATTCAACCTTCCCTGGGCCTTTCCAGGCCCTCAAAAACCTACAATTTGCCCATCCTAGATTCCAGGCTGGAAACCCAGGGATGTTTACCATCAGCTGTCTCCAACATGCTGCTGCTATAGCCTCGAGGGACCCCTCTCACAGAGGCAACCTGGGGGCGCTCACGGGAGGGCAGTTCTACAAGGCCAGTGGTCACATCAGGAGGTGCAGGATGGTTATCTGTAAGGGGAAAAGAAAGAAGAAAAGAAATGCAGCCCCCTCTCCATTAAGAGACCTCATCTGTCCTCCAGGAATCAAGGTCGCTGCCTCACGTCACCGTCCATGACACCGTCACAGTCCATGACACTGCTTCTAACCTTTGCTAGGTTACATTTATAAGCATACAAGTCATTCCCCAATTGATAAATGTTCAAAAGATATGAACGGGCAGTTTTCAGATGAAGAAATTAAAGCTTTAATTTAATTAAAGAAATTAAAGCTTTAATTTAATTAAAGAAATTAAAGTCATATGAAAAAATGCTCTAAATACTACTGATTAGAGAAATGCAAATCAAAACAACTCTGAAGTACCACATCACACCTATCAGATTAGCCAACATGACAAAACAAGAAAATGATAAATGTTGGAGAGGATGTGGGAAAATTGGAACATTAAATGCATTGTTGGTGGAGTTGTGAACTGATCCAACCATTCTGGAGAACAATTTAGAACTATGCCCAAAGGGTTATAAAAATGTGCATACCCTCTGATCCAGCAATAGCACTTCTAGGTCTGTACCCCAAAGAGATCATGCAAATGGGAAAAAGACCTACGTGTACAAAAATATTTGCAGCAGCTCTTTCTGTGGTGGCAAAGAATTGGAAATTGAGGGGATGCCCATCAACTGGGGAATGGCTGAACAAGTTGTGGTATATAAATGTGATGGAATACTATTGCTCTGTAAGAAATGATGAGCAGGCTGACTTCAGAAAAACCTGGAAAGATTTGTGTGGTCTGATGTTGAGTGAAAGGACTAGGACCAGGAGAACATTGTACACAGTTAATAGCCATGTTGTGAGATAACAAACTTTGATAGCCTTAGCCCTTCTCAGCAATACAAGGATGTAAGACATCTCCAAAGGCCTCATGGTGGAAAATGCTATCCACATTCAGAGAAACAATTGCCAAATCTGGATGCAGATTGAAGCGTACTATTTGCTCTTTTTTTTCTTCTGTTTTGTTTTGTTTCTTCTTTCTCATGGTTCCTCCCCTTGGTTCTAATTCTTCCTTACAACATCACTAATGTGAAAATATGTTTAATAGGAACGTATATGTACAGCCTATATCAGATCGTATGCTGTCTTGGGGAGGGAGGTGGAAAAAATTTAAAACTCAAAAAAAGCTCATGGAAATGACTGCTGAAAACTAAAAATAAATTAATTTAAAAAAATCAACTGCTAGGTTAATCAGAGTTTTTCTAAAACAGAATTAACCAAATTAATAAGTTTTACTGGGAGGAGGGCGGGGCGGGGGGAAGGTGAGGACAGAGGGAGAGAGCAGAAAGGCAGGCAGCTTGATTCTATGGTTCCCTGAGAACAGCTCTGTGACGGATGAGGTTGGTGTGGGGAAGACACTGGAGCTCCTCTAGCCCCAGCTTGGTTTGGAGGCTGGATGTGACCACCTTGCTTAAGGCCACTCAGAAAGGTGAGCAGAGAAGCACTCTTACGTCCCAGCTCCCCATGCGAGCACATGGGACAGCCCTCAGATGATGAGGCCACAGACAGTGAAGGCACGCACGCACTGCCCCTAGGAGAGAACCAGGATGCTGTGGGGGTACGAAGCAGTCATTCTTTCCTGCTAACTTATTCTGGGGGACTTGCTCCAATATCCTCAAAGTTTAGCACAAGGGAAAGACAACGCAGGTGAAAATAGAGGGTTCTGATCCAGAGTCCTGGCGTTCCTTGTCTCTTTGGCCCACCGGTTCTTCCATGTCCCCAAAGGGATAGAATGGCTGATCAGAAGACAGTGGTATGGAAAACGCCTAATGGAGCTGCGGAGTCTGAGACAGCCCGGGAGGAGACGGTCACCGGGGCCCTAAGCAGGAGCCAATCTCTCCCAAGATGGTTTTCAAAGGCAAAGCCTTGGAGGGCTGTCAGCTCTGTCTCTACCTGCCTCCCCCCAGTCCTCTGGAACCTGACCTCTGCCCACCAAACTTGCCAGAGCCACTCAAAGTCATATCTTACGAGAAACAGCTTACACAGATCGTGGAGAAAGAACTGTGCCAAACAACTCCCTAAGGTCCCCCTGAAGACCCCCCCACCCCCGTGGCTGCAGCCAGGAGCAGGGGCAGGAGGACCCACGGCTGGCAGAGCCAAGGTCTCTCTGACCCTGCCAGTGACAGGGCCATGGTCCTAGAGAGGGAGGGCTCTGGAAAGGCCTCCATCCTTTCCTAAACACTCGAGCCTCTGGGTCTTGGGGCCACTCGGCCATTCTGCAGTTTTCTGCTGGCAAAAGTAGAAAGACGTAGAAAGTCAGAAGAAGTAGACTGAAACGTCTGCCTAAGCCCTCGGTTTCCCATCCTTGTGTGCTCTTCACAGACCATGCCCCTTGAGTTACAGAGCCTTCGGGTGTCTTGAAACTGGTAGGCAGACATTAGCAGCATTTTAAAATTTATGTTTTGAGGCTACTTTTGTCAGTCAGAAGCAAGTCAGAAATGCTGCAAAAGGCAGTGAGAATCACAGACAGGGATCTTACTCCGATGCAAAGAGACGGGACCTAGAAATCATCACGCGCCGCCACGGGGGAGAAGCACGTTCTCCCTAATGACCCTCGGCCTCCCCCCAGACGGTGCAAGGAGAGGAGAGGCAGCTGCACTGGCGTGTCACCGGACAAGCACGCTCCCTGCTGCCTGCACGGCCTCGCTTTCTCATCCAGGCTCGCAGCCTGGTTAGCTCCTTCCAGCTCTCGGACTGGGATCTGATGACCTCGGCCAGGTCTCACCCGCTCCTGCCACTGCCCTGCCCCACTGTCTCCACTCTCCAATGCAAGCACCCTTCACACGGCACCCAAATCACCTTCCTAACGCAGATGCCCTCTTTCAAAGGCTCTGGAGAGGGCCCTGCGGGTGGACGCTGCCCCAGGAAGGAGAAGGCCCCTGACCCTGATGTCTACCTGCTGGATGCGATGTCGTGGATGTGGGATTCTCGGCTAAGGATGGCGTAAACCGGAGGCCTCCAAGGTTGGTAGCTCAGTCTACGAGGCAGGTGCCCGCTTCTAAGAGAGAGCATGGCACCAAAGACCCCCAACGAGCTGGCCCCCACCTCTGTCTCGAGGCTCGCTTACTCTCTGTGCCAGTTACGCTCTACTGATAGTTGGTCCGTAAGTGAGCCTCCCTGTTCTGGGCTGCGCCTTAGGTCTGAAGTGCCCCCTCCCCGCCCCAGCTCTGCCCTTCCCATGCTCAGCTCACATTTCTAGCCCACCCCTGGCCCCCTCGAGAAGCCTTCCTGAGCTGCACCCCCTCTCAAATGGCCAGAAAGTGCTCCCATAGCACCCCATTTTGTGCAGGTGGTCCTTCCCTCTCAGAACATAAGTGCCAACATAAACCATATTGGAAGAGAGCCCTGAACACAGTAGGGGCCTAATAAATGTTTGCTAGACTGAATGAACAAATTACATATATTTTAAAGCTCTAAGGATCTATGGAATATAAGGGAAAAAATTACTACAAATGAGCAAGAGAAGGTTGCTAGAAAGCATAAAGCATTTCTGTTGTCCCCAGTGCTCAGAGTTAACCCACGTGTCTGCCCAGGGTCAGGCCAGTGGGGCAAAGGAGCTTGGGAAGATGAGGATTTTCCCTCCAAGAATAGTTATGCTTCTCCTCCCCTACACCCAACATCTCTTCATGGTGTCCCTCAATCTGTGACTTCCCAACTGATGGCTAAAAAGGACGGCCCCTCCTGAGAAGGGCCAAGGAGCACCCTCATTTCAACCATGCTGCCCGGGCACCTGTGGGTCACAATGCCTCCAAATGCACTCACCTCAACAGCCAGCTCAGCCCCTGAAAACCCGGGCCCAGGAAGGCGGTCCAGCCCGTGGGGGGCCAGGGCCAGCCAATGAACAAGCGAGGACGCCTAGCTAACCGCTTCCCTTTTATACCTCTTGTGTGACTTACTTAGCCACATCCACCAGAAATTCTGTCCTTGACTGCCATCACAAAAAATTCATTACTCCAAGTCCGAGGTGGTCTGCCAGACCTTCCAAGGCTTTGTGTCTGTGCTGTCCTAGAAGAGGCAGGTGCACGCGGACTTGCTGACACTCTGTGTGGCCTCTGTCTCCAAATTCCTCAGAGATGTCTGAGCCCTGGCTGCTTCCAATCAGGTATGCAAACAGGACCACAAAATAAGTCTGGGCCCTGAGCGAAGGTGGCCAGCACCACAGTCAGTGAATGGTGGCTGTGGACAAGGCCCCCCTGGGCCTAGAAAGAGCTGCCACTGGGCTGCTGGGAGTGAGGCTGGCTGCCTGGAGAATCCCGCTCTCCTGCTCTCCTTTGGGAGGTGCCTTCCTGACATTCCCTGGAACTGGCAGCGCTCCTTCCTACGACAAGCAAAGGGGGGCATCTGATGGAAATCGACTGGAGAATTCTCCTGGTAACAGAAAAATGCTTCCCTTCAGAACGGAAAGTGCTACAGCTCCATGATTTTCAGTAAGAAAGACCACGGATGGAGAGTGTGGCCACCTCAAAACACTCTCACTTCTAATCCAGCCCAGCTTGAAACAACAGCTACAGCAGAACTACAAAACCCACTCAGATTTTCCATTCCACATACTCTAGAGAGAGGTCCCAAGAAGGCACCCTGTGCCTGCTCCAAGTCCCTGGGGCCCTCCTGAAAAGCCACTGCCAGGAAGACTGGCGACCAAGATCTCTTGGACGCCTCCTCGCTGCCCTGCTGGTGAGACCTTGAGTAAGTCACTGTAGCTCCTTGGCCTCGCTTTCTACATCATTAAAATAGCGGGATTAGCTTAGATATCTCTAAGGTCCCTTGGAGTTTTAAAAGTCTATGATTCTAAGGGGAAAACATCCAAATTATTCACAGGCATAGCTGTGGCCCTCAGGCAGGGGCCACAATGCTGACGACGCCCACCCAAATCTTCCCTGGAGCACTTTTTGTGGGAGCAAAGTGCTAAAGACAAAGGGGGGGGCCCAGGAAATGGCTGAACAAAGTGGGACACACAGACATTCCAACAGGAAGATCGCTACGCCACAACACAAGCAGCAAAAGGGATTCAGAGACCCATGGGAGCATGCAGGAGGGATAGAGGAAAGCAGAAGCAGGAAAACCATGAGCAGAATGACAACGTCCCTGAGACAGCACAGAAGAAATGCAATGACCACCTGGGGACACCCAGACACCGGCGGCTGCTGCCTTCCTTGGTGGCAGGGCGCGCTATTGGCTCTCCAACGCAGTCACGGGGCAAAAAGAGGGGGTGGGGGTGGAGCGGAGGCACAGCGATCCCCAGGGTGTTGAGAAAGGGGCCAGGGGACAGACTATTTGGAGGCCAAGCCGATCTCAACATCTTTCCATGTTCAGGAACTGGAGGGCTGAGGAGTCATCTAACTTTTATTTCTTACTGTGAGGTTTCTGCCCTTGGGAAAAGTAAATGTTCCCTTCTATAAAAGGCCCTGGTTGTGCAGCTAGCTTTAACTACCCAGTCCCGTCTCAGACCATGGTTACTGCCATGCTGCCTGACATTCTCGCTCCAGGAGCAGAGTAAGAGAGGGGAGCAGGGCAGCGGGGAGCGGACAGCCCTGGGCCAACAGCGAACATTTGTTTAGTTAAGATTCTCATCTTCAGTTACTAAACAGCAATAAATTTGTAAGGGGTGACATGGATGAAATGCCAGGAGTGTTGAAATGTCTCCCTTGCCTATAAGGCAAAGGCTGTCACCCCATTTCCTACTTGGCACCATTACTTAACATTTAATTGAGATCCAGTAACGAATGCCAAGGTCTCGTCCTAATGTGCCAGGGAGTGCGCTAGACCAGATTGCTGCTGACTGCCTGGGCTCCTGACGACCAGGCTGTGCAAGCTCTGCTTAGACCATCCTTCACCGAAAGGGAAGGGGAACGTTCCTGAGAAAGATCTGGGCAGAGGAGGGCCCCTCAGATGATGTATTTTGCTCTGAAAGCTCTCATCCCCTACAGGGACTGCCTGCCTGTGGGGGAACAATGGAGCATTTTGGACAGCTGCTCTCTCACTGAGGACTCCTGGTGTGATGGGTGTCCAGAGGCGGTTACTGTACTGACCTAGCTGAGCGTGGGCCATGAGATCTGCAAGCACTGTGGCAGCGGCGGCGGCGGGAGCTGTATTGGAAGCGGCAGCAGGTTTCCCTCCCGCGTGGGATGAAGTGGAGGATGCAGAAGATGAGGTGGAGGAGCCCTGAATGACCCGATGAAGCCAGGGTTCTACGTTGGAATGGCTCTGGAACGGAGTAGAAGTGAGTCGCCCTTGCCGCCGGAGTGAGCCCTCATCTTCTGAGGCCGAGGATGTGTCTGTGATGGAAATAACCGTGACAGGCATGTCATGCAGGGGTGAGCCCAGATGCCTGCCACGGCCTCCCAGGCACCATCACCAGGAGGAAGGCGCTCAGGGCTCCTCCTAAGAGGGCGGAGAGCCCCTTGGAGGACAATGCAGGCTGGCAGGGAAACTACCTCAGGGACAGAAGGCTGCTGGGCTGGGAAGTGACCAATGTCCAGTCTGGCACAAGGGAATATCTGTGCCACTCTCCATGCAAACCTCAAAGACCGACCCTCTTTCACTCGGCAGTTCAACAACTAAGAAGACATTGGTGCTTTCAGTGAAGCCACAGACAAGCCAATCGATGGCCCCAACGGACGCTGCCCTGACCGCTGACGCTGTCAGCCTACTCCTGAGCAAAGCAAATGGGAAATCAGCTTGGGAGAGGCGCTGTCCGGCAATCATCTGGCTGGTGCCCAGACCCCAAATGGCTCAGTCACTTATACTGGTAGGAATACACGCAATCCGTCACAGGGAGATTTCAAATCAAAACAGCAAAGGCCGCAGGCTGGGCTGGGGAAGCTCCAGCGTCTAGGCTACTCACTGGCCCACAACTACACAAGAGGATTCAGAGAGTAAGGGCGGTCTCAGTTCTCCATCCACCAAATGAGGTGGGGGCAGGGGGAGGAACGGATGGGGGCCTTTACAAGGCCCATTCTTACAGCAGTGCCGGCTTCTGGGAGGCCAGAAATAGAAACGTTGCGGAAGCATTCGGCTCTCACATGACAGCACAACACACGGCCTGGCAGGGGGCTCGAGGACCCTGAGTTCTGCCTTTGCCTCTCTGTGTTGGAGCTGGGCAAAGCAGGGGGTGAAACTGCTGGGGACCGGCAGCGGCAGCAGAACTTGGCAGCCACCTGCAGAGTCTTCACCAGGAAGAGCTAAGACAGGAGCCAGCTCAAGCCCAAATCCTATGGAACGTCTCCCAGCTTGTGCTTCTCCTAAGAAGCTGAGGCCTGCCAGTGTCCTTACCCTCACATGTTACTTACTCCCAGGGATAAAAGTTTAAAAACAAATCCCAAAGAGGAAGCGGAAAAATAAACTGGTTTCAAGTTTAGACGGAGAAGGAAGGTACAGCTTGTGGGAATGCACAGACATACAGAGCCCCACACAAAATGTATATACATGCATACATATACAAATGCTCACATACCCATATACACTTTGCACACGAACATACACACAGGCATGCAGTCACACACACTCACTCACACATACACATACATGACATGCTCAGACACACAGGCACACTTGTGTTACACACGTGTAAACACATGCCCACATGTGCTACATACCTTCTCATCCACGAGCACATGTTTGCGCAGAAGGGTGCAATATGCACACACACACACACACACACACACACACACACACACACACACACACGCTCATCCAGGTACACCAGAACACCCGCCCCACCCACCCTGCCAGCGGTCACCACAGAGGCCTGCTGGGTACCTGGAGGGGTGTAGGTCTCCACAGAGGAGTGCGCGAGGACGGAGCGTCTCTTGGAAGGCATGGGCATCTTCCTCTCTTTGTACTTGGCTAACGCGGCTTGTACGGCTTCGGTGTGGACGTCTGTAGAGAAGACAGAGAGTCAGCCAGGGCGAGCTTAGGGCCGCTCTGTGGACTTCCAAGCCAGAGGAGCCACGTGGCCTGAGCCTGTGGCCTCCGGCCTCTTAGGGTGGGGTCGGGTTGGCTTTGCCCCTCGATGAGGGTCAGACAGCAGATCCCAGTCCCGGATACCTGATGACCACGGAGCCTCCCCTCTCAGTCCCCTCCCTGAGGCCTCTCTGCCTTTGGCCTCGGGGAGGCTGCCCAGGTGAGACATGACTTCCCCCTCTCCTCCCCACCCCCAACCTGCCCATCGCAGCTAGAAACTGAGAGAAAATCTGCACCAGTCTCGTCCTCACTGCTCTGAGAGCAGGGGAGACAAAAGGCAGAGGGCACCATTTCACCACGGTGGGGGGGGATGTTATCTTCAATTCATCTCTTCCACATCCCCCCAAATCTGGCATTTCATTTCCCACCACCGTGCCTTTGCATGGGATGCACCCGATGCCAGGAACACCTCTCCTCTTTGTTGCCGCCATTCAGAACGGCTGGCTTCCCTCCAGCTTTGGCTGCAGTGACATCTCCTCTGGAGCCCCAATCTGACCCCCGTGGCTCCCCAAATGCTCTTTGTGCACTTCCCTCCTCAGCAGAATGGGAGCTCCTGGGTGGCAGGGGTTACTTTGTCTCCCCAGCACCAGGCCTGCCTCCACGCTGCTGACAGCCACGTCTGGCTGCCAGACCAGGGTCTCTCCCCACATCAAACCCTCCATCACCTCTTTGTCCTTTCCTGATCTGCGCCTGAGAAGGGCCGTGAGCAGAGAACCAGAAGCAGGCCTTGATGAGCAAGTGGGAGCTGACTGGGGGCCCTGGCAGGGCAGTGCCGAGGACCCTCCTCCTCCCAAAAGCATGCTTTCAGCCACAAAGTCCTCTCTTCTCATAATGGGGAAAGCCAAGTTTTCCTGAGGTGCACAGAGGGCTCGTCCAGCTGTGCCACCAGCCACATCCTCACGGCTCACTACCATTCTCATCTGAGTTCTAGGAACCCGACTCAGCGGAGGATGGGCCCAGGCTGAGGGATGGACCCCCAGCCCCAGTAGACTGTTGGGCCACAGAGGACTTTAGGAGGTGACCATCAGAATCCACAGCCCTACGAAGAAGACGCCTTCCCGTTGGCCTCCGTGCATCACTGACAGGGTGGGGTGATCAAGCACTGGTAGACCCACGAAGGTCCCTCCTGCTTACAGCCACTCTGCTCCCCCTGTACACACACACACACACACACACACACACACACACACACACACACACACCACATGCACACATGCATGCCCCCTGCTCTCAGAGTCAGAGTCCAACCCAGTAGGAGCAGGTGTGCTTCAGACACGCTGCTACGTGTGCTGATGGGTGCCCCAACCATCACCCACACACCTACCAACACGGGCTGGGCTGAAGGGGACCAAGGTCCCACCTCAAACTCTTTTGGGTGAACAGCCATACATAGACCCGTCCCTGCCAGGCCCGACGCTGTCACAGAGACTGAGGGCCCTTCGTCGTGGAGGGGACGCTGCTGGTCTCTGACCTGGGGGTAGGCAAGTCCTCCACTCAGTGTCCTCCCGACTAGGGCACAAAGTGGAAAACGAAAGCCTGGAGGTTGACTGTCATGTCTGACATTCAGCTGAGAGTATCGCAAGGTACCAAGAGGTCAAGGGACAGCCTTTAGGTGGCCCCTCTTCTGGGACTCTCCTTAACTTTCCTGAGTGTCTCCTTTGGTGTGAAAATCATCAGGGAGATGGGCTCTGTCCTCCCTCATGGGGGTCCCCCAGGGAGGCACAAGGCCTTACCAGAGGAAAGACCCACTGGCTGGTCATCAGAAGTGAGACGGCTTCTGGTAGGGCAGTGACAAGACAAATCTTGGATTCCGCTGAGACAAGCCTGGCCAGCATGCTACAGGATGGAAGAAAAAGGCAGAGCCTGGACCTGAAGAGGCCAGGCAGGAGGCAGCAGCCCAGGAAGGGCAGGGAAGAGTAGGCCCAGACAGGAACCAATGGAGGATAGGAGACACCTTTGAAAAGCAGGGCCGGCAGGCTCCCCCGACTCTTGAGACGGGGCCACACACACGGACTTCCTCGATCACGTTTCCACTGTAGACAGGTCAGAGGAGAAAGCAGGTCTGGTCTACTCAGACTTCAACTCGTCATTTGAAAGTGTGCTGCACCCTCCTTGGGGACATGTGCTTGGCACCGCACTAATACCCTGATCAGTGACTTAGAGAAGGCAGAGATGGCCAGTTCTTCTAACCTGGAGGTGACCCAGCCTTGGGGGAAGAGGACATGCACCGGATGACAAAAGCAGGATCCAAAAACCTCGCCTGAGCATTGAGCATCGTGGCCTTGGGCCGCACAGGGCAAATGACCCAGGAGCCAAGGGTCCCTCTGGGGCTCCCGCGTCAGATCACGCCTGGAGCGCTGAGTTGGGGAGTGAAGGCAGCCAGAGGAGGGAAGATCAACAGCAGAGTGACGGGCCGTGAGCTCATGCCACGTGAGGACAGCCTGAAGGACCTTGGGAAGCTAGGCCCCAGGAGTACCTGGAGGCACAATCAGACGGGCTCGGCTTGCCCCCAAAGGGCAGAACGGGCTGCCCTCTCCCTGAGGGTCTTCAAGCAGAGGAGGCCTGACCACTGTCCCCACTCAGATTATAGGGAAGAGCCAGGATTGGAATCCATCAGAGGGTCCTCTCGTTTCATTCCCGTTTTGTTGTTTTTATCAGACTCTGAGATAACAGAGATGATCCTTCTTAGGGCATTACTCGATCAAAGAAAACAGCTCACCGAGTAAACGGAGACCATCCACTGGAAAAAAGCAAATTCATTTCATTCTCGAAGCCGCAGGCCATGAGAACTTTCTTCGTTGGCATATCAGCACCGGGACAGGCAAAGCAGAGAGCCTCCTAAGGTCTAGTTCCTGAGTAACCAAATCCCTCATTGCAGGATAAATGAGCAAGGCCAGAGCTGGTGGGACAGGAGCAGGAGCCTGAGCCCCGGCGGGCGCCAGGGAAGCCTGTCACAGAGTAGAGGAGCGGGTCTCTGCATGGTCTCGCCTCCGGTCAGGGCTGCCTGATAAGGGTAGGCCTTGGGGCCAACTCTGCCGTGGCCAGCACACACTAAGAGAAGCTTACCGAGCCCGAGTGACCAAACGTGCCAAGCACCCCCAGAAGGCTCTGTGTGTCCTCCCTCCCAGCCACCTCCATGGGACCCCAAATGCCCATAAATCCTCTCGTCAAACTGGGACCAGAGAAGATGAAGAAAGGGGAGCACTGCTACGCAGCTCAGGGCAGCCCAACAGAGGGGCCATGGGTGAGACACCCCGGGACCCAAGTTTAAATCCTGGCTCTGACATCTAAACACAAGTCACTTTGCTCCAAGGGAACAGTGAGTGGGTGCCATGGGTGCACAGAACATGGGGCCTCGGGTCAGGAAGAACTGAGTTCAGATCCAGTCACTTACCAACTACGTATGTGACTACAGACAAATCGCTTCCCTTCCCTTGGTCTGCCTCAGTTTCCTCATCTGTAAAACGGGGATGATAACGGCACTCACCTCCCTAATTATAAAGCCCTTACACACAGCAGACACTATTATAAATGTTAGCTATCGTTAGCTATTATTACTGTAATAAAGGCACTCAAAGGTGGCTACAGTCTGTCAGCCAATTGTCCACTGAGGATGGATCAGCCCCTTGAGCCACAGAGACCAGGTTCCCACACAGTGAGATGGGCCCCAGCCCACCCCCCTTACCAGATCGGAAGCGCTCATCCCTCGCGTTGGCGGAACGTGCCTTTTGCTGTTTGGAGCTGGCGGCTGGAGTCTGCGAGGACCCTGGGACTCTGCTGTCTGCTTGCAGAGAGGGGTCTACACCTGAAACAGAATCCCAGCACAGGTCAGCACTCTGTGTTAGGCTCCGTCCATCTTTTATAAAACCACACACCTTCACCACACCTGCAACAGTGGACAGAACAAAGCCCAATGTTCCAGAAGGACAAAGTACTGTCCTCACTGGCAGCCGGTGAGTCCCTGAATGGAGGCTAGGGACAGTTCCCTGCCAGGAACAAGAGTAGATTTTTGTGTTAAGTGGAATTTTCTATCTATAATCAAAGCAGCCCTTCCAGGAAAAAAAAAAATCAAATGTCAGGGTCCCAGGTACAACCCTGGATGAGGCAGAGAACGTCACATGGACAATGGTGGAAAAAATGCTATTAGAGACAGTGCCCCTCTCCCTCTTTCCCCTCCTCCTCTCGTCCCTCCTCCCTCTTTCTCCTCTCCCCCTCTCTCCTTCCTTCTTTCCCCTCCCCCATTTCCCTCTCTCTCTCTCCTCTTCCTCCCTCCCCTTCTCTTGACTCTATTCTCTGGATCCAGCCACAGGTCTCCTTGTCAGTCGATACACTCCTTGTCATGGTTGAGGCCCAGCCTTGTGACGTCTCAAGATAAAAAAATCTTGAGCTCCCCACCTCACCCGCTATCCCAAACAGACTCTCACTTTATGAACACACATGTTGGGAAAGAGCACGTGTAAATCAGCATTTCTGCAAATTCCATTTTAAGAGGGCCGGGCAAGTGTGGCCTCAATTTGCCTAGGGGCTGGAGGTGACAGAGCAAAGCCCAGAAGGGGATCTGATTCTGATGTTTACCCTATTAATCTCTTCGCAAGGAGACGTCATCCTTCTGGGGCCATTTGAACATGTGCCTCTGTCTAGGCATGAGCCTTCTTGCTAGGAAGCTGTTCAGGAGGCCCAGCCCCTCTGGTGGGAGGGCTTCCAGGCCCTTCTCAGGGCTGCTCATCCCCCTTGGGTGTTCACCAGTCACCCCATTTTCCCCTGTGGCTCCAAGAAGCTGGAGCATGCCACAGCCCCGTAAACCTTCCCTGCAGAAGGCCTAACCCAGGCTGAGGGTAACCAACAGGAGGTAAGGTAGGGGCGCGTAGACCCCAAGCATGTGAAGACCTCCCCACCCCAGCAATGGGCAGATGAGAACAAGGTGTTCCAGTGGCCACAAAGGTGGCTGAAGCAGGAGCGGTGGGGCACGGAGAGCCTGATGAGGCATCAAAGATGCCAAGGCCAGCCGCTGCACCCCGGGCCATTGCCAGTCATCCTGACTTCTGTCCTGCCACTGGATGTCAGTGACTCCAGAAGAAAGAATAAGGTTGAGGACCTCACTTCAATCCAATTCATGTATGAGTCAAGACGTGACCCTGTGACATCACTGGTCCTAAACGAAGGACAGACAACAACTAGAATTAAAGGACATTATACGGACAGGTCAGTGAACTGCGAGTAGCAGGGGGAAACTCGAGTGAGTCCTAAGATGGTCACCAAACAGGAATCTCTTTTTCTAGTACTATTATCCCCATTGCATATATGAAGAAATCCATTCCGGAATATTCATGACTTATCTCTTATGCATGCAGCAAAGTTCCAGAAATGAAGTTGAACCCAAGGCCAGAAGTGAGATCAGGCCTTCCTGGCCCCAGGCCCAGCCGCCATCCACTGAGTCGCTGGGCCGCCCCCAAGAGTACCGGCTTCAAAAGAGACCAGGTTAAGACACCGGGAGATGCCATGCCTGGAAAGCCACTTAGTGGAGACTCCACAAAGGGAGGAAAAAAAGGATTTCCAAGGCCAGGAAACACCCTGCTAAGAGGCGGGAGATGGCTCATGGGAACCGCTCTCCCCAAGGACAAAGGGGGTCTATGGGGGGGGGGACTGGGCCTCCAAGTTTGCAGGAGGGGACGCTGTTGTCCTCCACACATATTTCTTTGTGAGAGCTGCCTGGCATTTACTGGCTCATTGACGGAGGAGATGGATCAACTAGCCAAATGATATCAGAAGCAACACACCAGACAGGGGTTTACAAGTCATCCCTACCATTCCTAAGTGGTAGCACACTCTGGCAACCCTACGTGCTGCTCTGAGTGTGAGTCAGGAGAGGGAGGAACAGAGCCAAGATGGCAGAGAAGCGGGACTGAGTACAGCAGGCTCTACCCTGCCCTTCCGACAGGTCTAGAACACGCACCAAACCTAATCCTGATGGAGAAATCCAAGACAAAACCAAAAGTGACAGCGAGCCATCTTTCCAGTCCAGGGTGGCACAAAGAGACAGATGCCCGTGCCCATGGGGTCTGGCCAGGAGTGACTATGCACCACAGCAAGAGGCAGTCCACAAGCCATTCCAGGGTGCCAGGACTCCATGCAGAATGGGGGAAGAGGCACCAACTTGTACTACCCAGATCCGGGTCACAGATCCAGGTGGGCTGAGGAGGAGATGGCACACAGGACAAAGTACTAGGTACTGCGCAGGGAGGACGTTCAGAAGCGAGCAGCAGCAGCCATGCAGTGAGGACCACAGCAGCACAGCAGGGCAGGGACCAGACCGAAGGGCAGCCTGTGTATCTTGTCTCTGAAGCAGCAAAGCTTTCCATCGATGCTCAGACCAGGGGACAGCAATCAGAGGTTCCCAGCCTGAGCAGTTCTAGAGAGCCTGAAATAATCCAACAGTCTGGAAAAGCAGCAACACGTCAGTCCAGGTCTGTCCTCCAGAAGTGCGCAGAGCCTGGCCTAACGCCAAGTCAGAAATCACCAGTCAGAAAGCAGGCTAAAAGAATGAGCAAGCAAAAATGAATTCCACCACAAAAAGCTATTGTGGTGAAAAGAACGCTCAAGACACAAGCCGAAAAGACAATGACTCTGAAACATCCCTTAGCAAAGACTCAAAGGAAAACGCAGCATGGACACAAACTCAACCTGAATTCCTAGCAGAGATAAATAAATTTCTTTTAAAGTTTGCAGATGCTTTTATAAATGAAACATGAAGAGCTGAGACCAAGAAACGAGAGCCAGGGAAGAAAGAACCGGAAAGGGAATTAGCAGCCCGGCACAAGAGTCACGTACAAAACCGTGTCCAAGCACCGAACTTTCTGAAATTCTGAAATGGACCATCTGACATACTAAATGGATTAATGGAAAATTAGAAGATTAGAATGGACCAAATAGAAGCCAACAAGTCCATGAGACAACAAGAAACATTAAAGAAAAGGCAAAAGACCAGAAGAAGTAGAGGGAAACTTAAGGCATCTCATACCAAAAACAACTGACCTGGAAAAAAGACTAAGGAGAAAAAAATTAAGAATCACTGGACTACCTGAAAGCCAGGAACAAAACCAAACCAAAACAAAGAAAAGCCTAGGCGATGATTTTGGGAACTCTTAAAAGAAAACCGCCCTACAGCTTTAGAAGCAGAGGGCAAAGTGGAAGAAGAATCTGCCTCCTGAAAGAAACCCCAAAAAAGAAAGTTCCCAGGAACACCAGGCAGAGATTGCACCAGGCTCAGCTGACAACAGGGCACACTGGGAGTGTGGGGACTTCGGCTGTACGGGCTGGAGACATCTGGGTCAGCCACCCGATGCTCAGATCCCCCTCCTGTTCTTCTAGAGTCAATGTACTGAGCGGGCAGAGCCCCGGAACAAGTCCTGGACTTCCTGTTTACTGGAAGAGGGGTTCTGTGAGTTCTGAATGAAACTAACAGAGCAGAGAGCCCCCCCCCCCAGCAAGGAGGTGGGAGGGCCCCTGAAGCTTATGCAGTAATGACCAATGATCCCATAATTAAATAATGATCGTAAGAGAAGGCAGGGAAGTCTGTACCCTACGGGGGCTACATTTTATGTCAAGATGTCTACACTCCTCTAAGGAAAATAGCTAGGAAGGGCAAGGCTGACCCCAAGCTCCCTGACAGGTGCAGAGAGGACACAGACGTTACCCCCCAAGGAAATGATGAGATGGTCCATGTGCACTGGAAAGGCCGCCCACTCACGCCAGCTCCCACTACCTGGCCTCCCCCACAACAGCCCTGGACCCCTCCAATCTGGGCAAGTTGATCTCTGGAGTTCCTGCCTTCCGGCCCAGCTCAATTGACTGGAGACCAATTGTGTGCAAAGCAACCCCTTGCCCCGTTCTCCTGGCCCCCACTTCCGCTGTGCTTTCTCTTGTCTCCCTGACCCCATGAAAAGGCAAACCCCTCAAAGCAGGGGCTGCCTTCCCAATGCTGAGCACAGCGCCTGGAGCACGGTAAGCATTAAGAAATCAGTTCTTTTTCCTTCACTCAAAATGAACAAAAGGTGAAATGATGAGGAAGTGGACAGGGCAGGTCTGGGGTTGAAGGGTCGGTAGAAACTGTAAAAGGCCTTTCCAGGCCTCTCTCCAGAGCAGCGGACAGACTAGGCCTTCCTCACCGCTGCTTGCAAAACTTGTCGTCAGGGGCCCCGACAGGTCTGTCTGCCCATCCCGATGTGGAATGTGGTGGAGGTGGGCCAAGGGCGCAGCCGGATGTGAGGACCCCTCTCCTCTCTGGCGCAGGGCCGCAGAGGAAAGGCCGTCCTGAACCATCCTCTGCTCTCCCCTCCCCCCCAGAATTTGGAGAACGGTTCTCTTGGACAATTCCCCAGAGTCTCCTTCACACCAGGCACAAGCAAAGCCCCAACCCCACACACCAAGCCGAAAGCTTGGAAGTGAAATGCCCCTATGCCCAATGACGACGACTGCTCTCACCATTTAGGAGGGAGAATTCTGCCAATGGGCCTACTTTAAAGGACGCCCTTTTGGAGAAAAAGGGGTTAGTCGAATAACTGGGGAGGGCTGGGTGGACAAGAAGCAGCTGGTGGGGGGTGGGAGCTGCCCGCGGACTAGATGAGGGTCAGTCTGCTCCTGCAGCAAGGAAAGCCCCAGGCCGGGGCAGACGCTGGCACATCAGCAGAGGGGGCGGCCTAGTGTCACTCACTGTGGATGAGGAACAGCTGGGCCTGGTGGGCTTGCTGATCAGCAAGACCCGGGTTCAAATTCCACCTCAGCACTCGCTAGCCGAGTGACCCTGGGCAAACTACCCAGTCTGAGTGTTTCCTCATCTGTAAAATGGGACTAAAAGCAGCACCGCCTCCACAGGTTTGCTGTCAGGATTACCTGAGATAACTCATCTCCAAATGCCTGTTTGACATTTCAGACGGGGTCATCATCTTCCCCAGAGCAATCCCTCTTCAAAGGGGCCCCACATCCTTCTGTCTCCACGTTCCCCTCTTGCTGTTGCCCTCCTTTCCCCTGCATGACACCTCCCCCCTCTGGCCCATCCCCTCACCCAGCCACCTCCCCTTTGCCACAGCCTCCCTGCTGCCGAGCCCTCCCTCATGCAGTCTGTGCCCCCACACAGCTGCTACAGTGATCATTCTAACCGTGTCACAAACTCCATGGCTCCTACTGCCTCTTCTGCCTGGCTTGTAGAGGCCTTTGAAACCTGGCCCTGACCTACCTTTGCAGTCCCATTACTCCCCTTCCCCCATGCCAAAAGGCCCTTCCTGCTCGTCCTCACACACGGCACTCCCATCTCCATGACTCTGCACTGGCAGTGTCCCACGCCTACAAGGCCCTCCCTCTCTGGCTCCACTTCTTAAAATCCCAGTTTACTCACACACTCTGCTCAAGGCCCACCTTCTACAGGAAGCCTCTCGTGACCCCTCTTCTGCCAGCTGAGGGTCCCTCCCTCTGCGGCATTTCTCTCGTGTCTCCTTTATGGACCCTCATGTGTGTACACGCTGTGTCCACCAACAAAATGTAAGCTCCCAGAGGCAGGGAATGTTTCACTGTTTGTAACCCTAGTCCTTGGCCCAGGGGAGAGGCTTCTCGGCTGCTCGGGGACTGACCAGGAACCCCTTTAGCAATGGCTGTGGCTGTCTTCTGAGTGTTGGAGAGTGAGCATGGTTTTTGGAAATCCTAAGTCCATCGGGGATGAACTATGTAGCTGGCCCTGAGCTGGACCAGGGAAGTCCGGAGAGACATCCGAGAGACATTTTACCCAGGCTGGCACCTCTTGTTCCAACAGCGTCCCGAGCCATGATGAGAGAGTGGGAGCAAGCGAGGGCGGAGCCTCCTTTCATTGTCTCGATGCTGCTAACTGGCGTTTACAGAACCCTTATCAGAGGACAGTGGGAAGGGTGGGCATCCATGCTGCACTCTCCTATTTTCTGGAGGAGTCCCCATTGCATATGGTGCTCACTTTTGGCATTGGAAAGATGCTTGTGACAAAATTAAGAACAGTCCCCTCTGTGCCTGTACCTTATAGGGTTTTTAGCATAAAACAGTGTCGTACTTTGTCCCAGACTTTTCCTGCATCTACTGAGATGATCATATGATTTGGGATGTTCGGGGTTTAAATATGATTAATTATGTGGATCGCTTTCCAAATGGTGAACTATCCTGGCATCCCTGGTATAAATGCCACTTGGTCATAATGAATATTTTCTTGGATAAATTGCTGCAGTCTGTTTGATGGGATTTTGTTTGAAACTTCTGAGTCAATGTTCACTAATGGTACTGGTCTATGGTTTTCCTTCTGTGCTTTATCTTTTCTGGTTCAGGTACTAGAATTCTATTTGTCTCATAAAAGGATTCTGGTAGGGCTCTTTCTCATTTTTTTAAGGACAATCTGTGAAGTCTGGCTACCAACTATTCTTTGCAAGTTTGACAGAATTCTCCTGTGAAGCCATCGGAGCCAGCAGGGTTTTTTTGCCCCCCTGTGGCAGTTCCTTTACATCTAGATCCATTTCCTTTTCTGAGACTGGATTATTTAAGCTTTCCGTCTGGCCTTCTGATAGTCTGGAAATGTTATATTTCTGAAGGTCTTCCTCTATTTCTTTTGTGTTCTCAGTTCTGTTAGAATAAAACTGCCAAAGTAGCTTCTGGATATTTTTAAAAAATGTCTTCTGTGCAGAGCTTCCTGTAGGGACAAAAGCACCAGGAATATACCAATGGAGCATCCTCGGGAGCAGCCATCTTAGCACTGTGACCTCATGGCAAGCAGCCCCCTTTGGAACCCTGCCCAGAAAGACATTCCCATTCTTGAGGAGACACACAGGCAGTACTGAACAGTGAAAATGTCATACAATAGAGCCCATATTAATGGAAACTCTCAAATAATTAGGGTTTTTTCCCTTGCTTTGAAGAAATCACAAGAAAAACAAGACAGAATCAAAAGTCCTAACTCTCATGGTTCACAATTATACAGTTACACAAGGCCAGAAAGATGGCCTGGAGGCACGCCAAGATCCTCAAAGAAATACCAGATTAGGTTCCTCAAGTACATCTACAAAGGCAGGAAACGAAGGTTAAAAGGAAAAGGGTTGTGCTGGGCCCAGAGTCAGGAAGACCTGAGTTCAAATCCAGCCCCAGACACGTATTAGCTGTGTGACCCTGGGCAAGTCACTTAACTGTTTACCTCAGTTTCTTCATCTGTAAAATGAGGTGAAGAAGGAAATGGCAAACCACTCCAAGTATCTTTGCCAAGAAAACTTTAAAAAGGGGTCACGGAGAGTTGGACATGACTGAACAACAAAAAAGATATTCTTAGAGTAACAACAAAATCTAATTAGGACAATGGAGTTAACGGATCTTTGTGCTTACATATTGTTTTTCTTAAAAGAAGGTTCCATGACGCTAGATAATAATGAGAGTCACAAGTTTCATTAAGTAGTAAGCCTTTTATTATAATGCTCTAAATACAGATAGATTCGTGTAAAGGAAAAAAGCACTCAAAGAACTATTAATTAATGCACTGACCAATTTGACTTGGCCAACAAGGGTAAAGCAGGCCCAGCTTCCTGGCAGAGAAGTGGTGGGCTACAGGTGCACAATGAGGCATACATTGCCGGGTATGGACGATACACTCATCTGTTTGGATATGACTATTCTTTGTGACAAGGTAGAATATTAAAAATAAAACCACACGTGGATTTCTTTACTTTCTAAACAGCTAGTTAACATATGACCTCAGTCATTGTAATTTATTCTTTCTGAGACTAAATACCATACCCAACATTTGCCCAAGCTCTCCTAAAGTCTGAAATTAGACATGTAAATAGCGGCCTCATCATCTGCACGTTGCCTCTGTCAAATAAGTCACTCCTCCCGCTCAGTCAGACCGGATGTGACGGAACACCAGCTTATAACCTGACGGAAGGACGGGGCCAAGGATGCTCATTCACATGCAGCCTCTTACCTTGGATGGGTGGGATGTAGCGCGCCAGCAGCTTTGCCCTCTTCTTCTCGTAGCCTTTTTGAGTGATGTCACCTAAAACAAAACATTTAGGGAAATCTCAGTTTCAATTTAAAGATTTTCTCTTAGGTTTAAAACTGATCTCCTATGAACTCTGAAACAGTTCTGTATTGAAGTAGAGCCTCCAGAGTCTTAGAATAGAGGGTGACGGCAGCAAGACGCCATTCATTAGGGATGATCTTCTGCCCTTGAGTTTTACATGGTGCTTTCTTGGGGTAAGTGATCGCTTAGTTCTAACCTGGGCATTTTCTGTCAAAGACACTGGGGAGTAGGGGTGGGGGGAGGGAGCACCGTACATAGCAATTTCAGGGAAGCAAAACAAAAAACCAAAAGCCTACCACATCCATATCTTGCAGCAGACAAACCCAGAGACAAACTATTCGAAGTACATATTACATATTGTCTAATTTAGTTCTGCAAAGGAAGTTAAAAAAGTCCAACTTTCCAAGGAGTTGGTCTGCTCTTGAGGAAAAGGCTTTTCCCTCTGTTTAACACCTAACTGTAGAAGCAGGAGGGAACCAAGATGCCCACCCTCCCCATCTCCCACCAAACCAATGACATGAGCAGCAAAAGCGATTCCAGGGGAGAAACTGCCTAGCAAGGAATATACCGTCCTAGAAAGCTTGATATTCTGTAGTCCCCAAAAAGTTTACATTATACATTTGAAAAAAAGTTAGTTGACATACAAATATAATTAAGTACGTAAACTTAATTAGGTCTAGTGTCAGTACAATTTTTCCCTGGGTTAACAAATCTAATTCCATTTACAGACTCTCCAAGTCAGCCCACATGATCATCAGAGGCAGAAAGTAAGAATCTTTCCTGTCTAGTAGCCAGACAGAGTGAAAGAAATATGTGTCAGCCACCCTAAACACCTCGTGCACTCTCAGAGTGTGCCCCGGCTGAGCTGTAATCGGCCCCTCTTGCCAAGGGAAACAGGTCCCTGACAGAGACGAATCCAAAGGCCATTTCCATCAGCAGTAATGACTGCTCAATTCTAAGTTTACCCCAAGGCCATGTGTCCCAACCCCAGGGAGAGTCCGGCACCATGGACTGTCCAGAGGATGAGCAGTCCAGGCAGCTCACGCTTCTGCCTTCTAATTTCAAATTAAATCACACAGGGAAAATGTACAGCTCCAGAAAATCCTCCTATCACTAAAAATACAAGTAAACAGATGATGCCTTAGCAGTCTTGATATTATCCAGGCATTAGTATCAACTGGAAGCAGAATGGCATGTATCTTGTTCCAACCCAGCACAGAATGACGTTTTGAAAATGTGATGCACTGCATTCGATTTCAGTACAAATGAAATAGAACTGTCCAGACAGGTGAGAGTGGGTCTTCAGATGCTGTGATCCAAAATTTAAAACCAACATCTGAAGGAAAACACCTGAACCAAGGAGTGAGATAACTAATGACTGCACATTTAGACCAGCCCAACGTGCGGGAGGAAGCACTCCACTCCCAGCCAGTGCAAGAGCATTTGCCGGAGACAGAGAAGCAATCTCTCACACCTTACCCTTCCTTGGTCTATAAAACTTCACAGTGCAGCCAGAAGCAGCCTACGCCAAAAGCCTTCACCTTACCCAGTCTCGATTCAGTTGCTGGCAGTCAATCTCTGGACCACAAAAGCAGATCTAAGTATGAGGTTAAAGGAAAAGAGGTCCCTGAAAAGTCTGACTGTAGTATTGACTTTCCTCTTGCTGTATCAAGGTCAAGTTCACCAATCCTACAAAAAAGGGATGAGAAACAAGGATGCTTTCCTTGCTCTTGGTGAAGAAAAGTCTCAAATCAGAAGATTCAGCCCTGGAAGGCCCGGCACCACACAGCCAAGATTTCTTTGTTTCCTTCTGATATGCTCTGAGGAGGATTCTGGGTTCTGTGTTCCACAATGGCTCCCAACCCCCACCGCACAGGCCAGGCCCCAGCATCCCGGGCTCCTTTGTAATGCCTCACCCTTGCAAAGAAAGACCCACCCATCAACCCGGAGGCACATCTGGCGGGGCAGGGCCCCAGCTGCTGCCATTCAGTCTTACGTTCCCCGACAATTAGGGGAGACAAAAGCTGTCTGATGACCCCAGTCCCAGGAACCAGCTGGGAACGTCTCAACTGAAAGTTAGAGCGTGGCTTCAGAAGACTAGACTTCTCAGTTTTTTCCATGGAATATTTGTTCAAATGCTCAAGTATTGCCTACATCACAAAGTGAATTTTTAAATGCTTTCAGTCCAATCCAGTTTCCAGGCCTTGCCTTGGGTCAGGATCAGAACACCCTTTCCTTTCTAAAATACTCATCCTCCTCTGCTGATGTCCAGCCCCTGAAGGCCTGCCCGGGCACACGTACCAGTTCCCGCACATGTCTGTCATGTACAAAATCCCATTTACTTCACGCAATGACGCTGTCCTTCAAATGCTCCACTGGTGGCTTGCCCCACAACTTTATTCCACTTGGAAGACTCCCAGACATCCAACTGTGATTTATCCTCTGCTTCAATCATTGCATCTCATGAAATTCAACAAAAAGATATTCTAGTCTTCATGTAAGCCGTCCAAAAGCTGACCTGGCAGTTTGGATGAGGCTAGCAAACATTTCCCAAAGCAAAGCTAAAGAAAATACTCTACAACAATAACTAACATTCACAGAACACCTGCAGGTACACAAAGTGCCTGCACACATCACCTCATTTCATTTTCACAATAATCCGGGGACGTAGGAGCTTTTATAGCCTCATTTAGCAGATAAGGAGACAGAGGCACACGGAGATGCTGTGGCTTTTCCAGGGCCACACAATATCAGTAAACATTTGAGGCAGGCTTAGAATTCAGGTCTTCCTGACTCAAGGGCCAGTGCTCTAGCCAGGACACTAGATGCTCCAGCCAAGACTACTCTGTCTTAAAACAAAGTATGAAATTGAAAAGCACTCCTAAAGCTGAGAAAGACCAAGGAACCTTGGCGGCGCCAGACAAAGTCAGCAGCACAGCACAAAGACCATTGTAGACACGACTCTGCAGAAGGTGCTCAATGCTTTAGAGCTTCTGTAGAGGGCTGGCTTGACGTCAATCATACACAAAGCGCAGTCTGTCCTGGCACTGCTGTGAGATGTGTCTGAACTGTCCTCAATGCTTCCTGGATACAGGAGGGGCCAGAATTGAGCTTCTGGGTTTCCTTTTCTCCTGGGCTGCCTTGGCCAAAGAATTCCTCACCAAGCAGTTGGCCGACAAGGCCTGCGTCAGGTGCTCCCAGCTCAGCTAGAGAATTGCTTAGGCTGCGGTCAAGCCCAGGCAGCCCCAGAGCGCCCTAGAAAGCCAGCACATCACCAGCAGAGCCTTCCAAAGTTCAGAGACCTGGTGAAGGCCCTGGCAGGCAGAGGTCAGGGAAGCTCCTGAGGCAGAACCTCCACCATCCACGATTCAATCAAACCGATTTAAACCCAGCCCCATTTCAGCAATGCTCTACCCCCCACCCCTCTGCGAACAGTACTCAACACAAAGTGGCTGACAGCAAGTGCTGAATGAATCCATCAATCCACGGTTTCTGGAGACCAGGCTTAAATATAACGTTACACATACACACTCAATGGGGTATGGAAATCTATCTTACCCTATAGGAAAATAGGGGGGGAAGGGGTTAAGAGAATGGGGAGATGATAGAGGGGAGGGCAGATTGGGGAGTGGGTAATCAGAAGCAAACACTTCTGAGGTGTAAGAGAGAATAGAATAAATGGGGGACATGATATGATTAAGGGAATACAGTTAGTTTTTCACAACATGACTACTATGGAAGTGTTTTGCATGACTACACATGTATAACCTGTATCCAGCTGCTTGCCTTCTCAATGAGGGTGGGTAGGAAGGGAGAAGGGAGAAAATTTGGAATCCGAAGTTTTAAAATCAAACGTTAAAAATTGTTTTCACATGCAACTGGTAAGTAAGATATACAGGCAATGGGGTACAGAAGTCTATCCTGTCCTACAGGAAAATAGAAAGGGAAGGGAATAAGAGAAGGGGGAGGTGATAAAAGGGAGGGCAGATTAGGGGAAGGGGTAATCAGAAGCCATGCTGTCTTGGGGTAGGGGGAGGGATGAGAGGGGGAGAAAATTTGGAACTCAAAATCTTGTGGAAGTGAATGCTGAAAACTAAAAATAAATAAATTAATAATAAAAAGACAGAATAAATAAACATAACGTTACATCAAGAGCTCCAAGGTATAGTCACGCACATTATGTTCAAACACATGGTTCTGTCGAGGGCAAGAAAAACTTCCAGAAACCAAGTAGCCAGAACCTAAAGCCACCACCTCCTCCTGTCTTCTCCAGTGGGCTGCCCTCTGACATCCCCAGGCTCCCATCTTCAGTCTCTCCCTCCCTAATGGTTACTTTCCTGCACATACTCTCCCTCTGCCATCCATAAAGACTGTCAACAGATGCAACCATCCCCCACCAGCTCCTCCCTTGTGAGGCTCCTTCAGAAGACTGTCTGCACTAGAGAGCTCCACTTCATTTACTCTCTTCTCAACTCGACTTCTGAGCTCATCATTCAGATGAATGATTCCCCTCTCTTGAAAGCTGCCCTGGATCTCTTCAATGCCGAAACCTAATGGTCTTTCCTCCATCTTCCTCCTTCTTGACCTCCTGGCAGCCTCTGACACTGCCGATCACCCTCTTCTCCCAGACACTCTCTTTCTTCTGTCTGGGTTTCCAGCCTCCTCACCTGGTTCTCCTCCTACCTGTCCGACCTCTCCTTAGCCAACTCTGATGGCCCTTCACCCACTGTGGGTGCCCCTAGAATCTATCCCAGGTCCTCTTCTCTACGCTGTCTCATCTGGGGATCTCAGCTGCTTCTCTGGGTTTAATTATCAACTCAATGGAAAGAGAAGGAGGGGGCCAATACATGTGTAGATACGAGCGTAGCTATAGATAACAGCCCCAGTCTCACATCTCCAGCTGGATGGCCCACAGAATAGTCAAACTCAATGGGCCCAAACCAGAGCTCATGATTTTTGCCCCTAAATCTCTG